GTTTCAGTAAGCGAGAGTGTGAAGCAGGTGCTTTACAAATGAGCAAATTGACCTTTAACGATGATTCCGAGAAAAATATGGTGTCAAAGGTTTTCGAAAGCGCTATTGAAATGTTGTCTCCAGAGGATCGTCAACTACCACAGATCCAAAACATCCTTCCGCTTTTGCAGCAAGGTATCGGTGTCCATCACTCAGGATTGCTGCCGATTCTTAAAGAAACTATTGAGATTCTGTTCCAGGAGGGTCTCATCAAAGTCCTGTTTGCAACTGAGACTTTCTCCATTGGTCTTAACATGCCTGCCAAGACTGTAGTCTTCACCAGTGTCCGCAAGTTCGATGGAACTAGCCAGCGCTGGGTTACTCCATCTGAATTCATCCAGATGTCTGGCCGTGCTGGTCGTCGAGGTCTCGATGACCGAGGTATTGTGATTATGATGGTCGGAGAGGAGATGGACCCAGCAGTCGCAAAGGAGATCGTGCGCGGTGAACAAGACCGACTTAATTCCGCATTCCATCTTGGCTACAATATGATCCTCAATCTGATGCGTGTGGAGGGTATCTCGCCCGAATACATGCTCGAGCGATGCTTCAAGCAGTTCCAGAACACTGGAAGCGTTTCGGGAATGGAGAGGGAGCTCGAGGGTCTGGAGGAGAAGCGCGCCAATATGGTCATCTCAGACGAAGGGACCATCCGCGAATACTACGACCTACGGAAGCAACTAGATGCATTTGCCGACGATGTTCAACATGTTATTACTCATCCAAATTACTCTTTGACTTTCATTCACCCTGGACGATTGATCCACGTCAAGTACAAGGGTGCTGATTTCGGTTGGGGCGTGGTGATCAACCAGAAGAAGCGCAAGCAAGCGAGTAACGACACCGAGAAAATTACTCCTCACCAATCTCACATTGTTGATGTCTTGTTGAGGATGTCGGAAGGGTCATCCATTGGCACCAAGTCTTTCCAAGATCTTCCGCCAGGTGTTCACCCCGCGAAGGAAGGGGAACCGACTCGCAGTGAGGTTGTGCCCATTGTGCTGAGCTGCATCACAGAGATCTCTCACATCCGCATCATGCTTCCGAAGGATATCACGTCAGCTGGCTCTCGGAATGAAGTCATGAAGGCTATTGATGAAGTTAAGAGGCGCTTCCCAGACGGTGTTCCGCTACTTGATCCGATTGAGAACATGCAGATCAAGGACGACAGCTTCAAGAAGCTGCTACGGGTATGAAAATATTATGTTGCTCTACGATATGATTCACACTGCTAACCATCACATAGAAAATCGAGGTTCTTGAGTCTCGCCTCCTGAGCAATCCTTTGCACAATTCGCCCCGGTTGACTGAATTGTACGAGCAATATGCTGAGAAGGTGGATCTGACTGCAAAGATCAAGGCGATAAAGAAGCAGATTACAGAAGCCATGTCGATCTTGCAGCTTGATGAACTGAAGTGTCGCAAGCGTGTGCTCCGTCGTTTCGGATTTATCAACGAAGCCGAAGTCGTGCAGTTGAAGGCTCGTGTTGCTTGTGAGATTAGCACAGGTGACGAGCTGATGCTGAGTGAGTTGCTGTTTAATGGTTTCTTCAACAACTTGACTGCTGAGCAAATCGCTTCCGTCATGAGTTGTTTCGTGTTTGAAGAAAAGGTCAAGGAGGCCCCTACTTTGACGAAGGATGAGTTGGCGAAGCCACTGAAGGAGATCCAATCACAGGCCCGCATCATTGCCAAGGTGTCGCAGGAGTCTAAGATGGCCATGAATGAGGAGGAGTATGTTACGAGCTTCCACTGGGAGTTGATGGAAGTGATCTATGAGTGGACTCAGGGCAAGTCTTTTGCAGATATCTGGTAAGCATTCTCTCCCCCAATTATTCTACCAGTATACTAACTATCCTAGCAAAATGACCGATGTCTATGAAGGTAGCTTGATCCGTGTCTTCCGCCGGTTGGAAGAGTGTTTGCGGCAGATGGCGCAAGCTGCCAAGGTGATGGGCAGCGAAGACCTGGAGAGCAAGTTCGAGGAGGCCCTGGGCAAGGTCCGCCGTGATATTGTTGCTGCCCAGTCCCTGTACTTGTAGATACGATATCCATTTTATGATCGCTGGAGTCCAAAGAATATGATTACCCACAATTTTTTTCCCCTACGTAGAATACATGTAGTACTCCCGGAGTAGATGATGCGGGTATTCGTATTGCCCGAAAGCAGTGTAGATTTAATCTGACACATACTGTTTTAAGCTGTCATGGATAAAACCAAAATGAAAGACATCTAACCTTTTATAAAAAAAATCATATTATTAAAATCCATGTCAAATCCCTTTTAAAAGGGCACAGATCCCCCAAAAGCTGCGTAAAGGGAGTGCGTTGCCACCTGCAACGCCTACTTTTTCTCCACCGCTACATTTCTCTACCCTTCTCTCTCCCCACTTCAAACCCTTTTACCCTCTTCCTTGCTTTATTACTGTTCTTCACTCTTTTGGATATCCCGAGTCCTTTGGACCATCACATTTCTACTTCGCCATCCGGCTGTCACCATGAACAGCTTGGTGGCTACACCTCCTGTTCCGCCTCACTTCTACGAGAACCCCCGATTCTCTCCTGCCCGTATGAGTAAGACATCCCTTTCCAGAAATTGAAAGAATTTGTTTCTTCTAAGGTCAAGATGGCTCTCTTTGATGCATATACTGACAAATCGGCTAGTGTCTACACCTACATCGTCGTATGCCAGCCGTAAACGGAAAGCCGACGAAGACAACGATCATGATGGACGCATGTCTGCTTCGCCCACAAATTCTCCTGCCTTCACTCCTCGACAACTTCCTCACAATTACCGCAACATCAAACGTTCCCGACCGAACGTTTCAGGTCGACCTCTACCTCTACCCCGTCTGCTAGAAACCCTTGATACAGATGCCTTGCGGACGGTTGTACGGACCATGTGCGAGCGTCACCCTCAGCTCGTCGAAGAGGTTGTGCACACATCTCCACGTCCGAATGTCTCCTCGACCCTTCAAGTCCTTCGGAACTATCAGGCCACCCTCCAGTCGTCATTCCCGTTGGGTGGCAACACTGAATCAGACTATGCCTACAACCGAGTCCGACAGCCGCTCACCAACCTTCTTGATGCCTTGAGTGACTTCACCCCCAACTTTCTACCTCCAAACGAATCCCAAGCATCCACATCCTTGAGCTACCTAGATGGGGCAACCGACATCATTCATGCCTTGCCTCGGTGGAGCACGCCACAGAACAACATCGAACGAGACTCGGCTTATGACGAGATGTGCAAGGCATGGATTCTAGTCATTCGGGAAGCGGCAAAAAGAGGTGGCGGCATCCAGTTGCAGTACGGAGGTTGGGATCAAAAGCTGGCCAAGCACAACCAAACTTCTGGAGGAAAGCTACAGGGAGCTGTCAACGAACTCGGTTTCAGCTTAGGATGGATGAATGGACCCGACACACCATCCCACGGAGCCAACGGCGACACGGGCTCCATCCGAGATCAGCTCTTCGCTGGAACTTACGGCCTCGGAACACCAGTCAAGGTCGGACCCTGGTGATAAATCACGCCCTCCGATCTCCTTACGAAAGACCACTACATTTACATCACTCGAGTGTCGCCCCACACTCCCCCCATTCATGCCGGCTCTCATTTGAGCCTGACCGACGGTCCATACCCCTTTGACCGCGCAATTTTTGACGTATGTCACGATCACGATACCTTGCTGCATGACCCTAGAACATGGTCAGATGGCGTTATAGTACACAATACTCAAGGCGGAAACCTAACAGCTTTTCTTTTTTTTTTTTTTCTGTCTTCTTTTTCGGCTGGAAGTTTGGAAGATGAATGCTGTTATAGCTTGTTTGTTCTCAAATCTTTCAATGAACTCAAACTCAGTACCTTCCAAGGGTTTTCTTCCTATCTTGCTTTGCTCATTGATCGTATTCCGATTTACACCCATCACCCTTCCTTTCCCTCTTTCCTTTCTGTCAAATCCTTTCATCTGTGTACTTCATTCCAACTCTGATACTCTCTTTCTATTTCTACTGGCGCCCTGGTGTCGCATTACTCTCTTTCGTGTCAAATTGTCTTTTTTCCCATTTGCTGTTATGGGTTGTCTTTGCCTGTTTCGTTTCGGACTCGGCATCAATCTCTGTTTGTGCCATTTTATCCCTCGCATATTCCAGTGATGTGTGTCAGAGCGACAATGTATGCCTTGGGCCCTCAAACCCAATGCCTGCGCTTTTTTGGTTTGGAAAAGTTGGTGAAGATTTGAACCTATTCTATTAGAAGAGGAACACTCGCCATCCACAGTCTGCAACATATGTTCGTTCTGATCCTGTCATATCGCGCAACATATTCTAAATAAGTTGTGCGTTGGTAGGGCCCTCTATTCACGCTAGCTTGTTTCATTGGAATATCAATTTTCTCGGAGCTTTCGGTCAAGTAGAAAGATGTAGAAACCAGTTCCATGCCTTGATTACGGCAGGTCTTTCGGTTCATCGCGCCAATCTATGTACAAGTCCTAATAAGCATGGGATTGTTTCTCAATTTTCAAGCGATATATCATGGACTCGATATACGCCCTACTCCAAAATACCTTCAAAATACTGTTTGCAAGGTCCCGTATTGCCAGATCAATCACCGTGCTCCGTTGCGCCAAGCACCAATCACCAATCACCGGCCAGAGTTACTCTTTGGCATATCTGACCGCCTTTCGTACCGAAAACTTTTAAAAAAAGAAAGTAAAAATGACTGCGGCCCGTTTCGAACTACGACCTTTCCAGTCACAGCGTCCCACGCGATTGATTGAACTCCTACGTTGTACAATACGGTCAATACCGACATAGGGTTGACACCTAAGGCATTAATCACTCATCTATATAATCCATCCATGGATGGATGTGCTTGTCACCTCTCTGCACTTCTCTTCTCTCGCAATTCTCTTCTCTCTCGCACTTTTCTTCTCATACTTCTTCTCTCTCTGCGCACCACAATGTCTAGACCAGGAGATTTCGATCATCTGTGCAGTACTGAAGTCAGGCTCGAACAACCTTCACCCTCACCCAGTGCGACGTTTATCCTCGATGATAAATTGTCTGAAGAATACCAAACCATGACGCAGGAAGAATATGATGAATACCTCGGCCATCCATTTGCGGCACTCAAGTTCTCATGTCATAACCTCTTCGACCCCGCCCAACAGGGCTTTATACGGCTCTACTATCAAATTCCGATTGATGGTACTATTTCTCACTCCCCTCAAGTCCGAGCTCAGCAAGCTCTCACTCAGCACACCCACGCAGAAGTCAAGGCTCTCATAAGTCTTGATCATAAGAATTGCCCCGCAGTCCCAAAGTTACTTGGTTATGGTAACCGGGTGCAAGGCCTAGAAGATTATGCCCCTGGAGGTTATATTAATTATGTCGCGTGGACACGGGTGGCCGGTGAGCCGATTACCTCCGTTTGTTACTGGGGATGTGACCTCGCATACCGGGAGGAGGTGCGTTCCGCTTTCCGCGCTGCTTATAGGTAAGATCATACTCCCTTTGTGTACCAGTACTAAGAAGAGAGCTAAAAAAGGATGTATGGGCACCGGGACTTAGCTCTTTAAAGAATCTCATCTATTATGAGGACACTAAGTCTATGTAGGTGGCTATGATATCCTGTAAATATCTATCATGGTGAGCTAATGCGTTTCAGGCATATTTCTGGATTCCGTGATCCCGATACCTTAGAGCCCGAACCATTATCCAATGTGACATACGCAATTTGGAGATTAGTGAAGCCAGCTCGCAGGCTAGACTGGATGCGTGATAGCTCTGACTGGGAATGGTGACGAACGTAGGCGTACATCCCTTCTAAGATAATGAAAATGCCCCTACTCGTAAACCGAGACATCGTGCCTCACAGTATTTAAACATACGTAGTATCTACTTCCTCGAGCATCGAGCAAAGCATCCACTAATTTAACGTTTCCTCCGTCGTGTCCTTGAGTAATGGCAGCCATGTGTTTATGTATAGGCTCCCGAGCGAGTGATTAAAGCTCGACAGTGAGCTAACCCGCGCCCTGGCCAGTGGTCTGGGTACTCTTGGTGGTAGCGTTATCTCCCTTAGTGGATACGAAATAGAGGAGGTAGGTTGTAGATGTGACGATTCAGGGCAGCACTTTATTTAAAGAAGACACTATTTGAGCTTAAAATCTAGGACTTGGCGATATGTTTGACTTTTGACCAAAACTAATAACCGTTACGGTCCACCATTTGCCTGCACCGAGGTGTACCGTATCGCTGTTTTGACACACCTTCGGTGCCTTTGCTCTTCATAGTTATTCCGAAAAGCTACAAGATAACCAACAGCAACTCAAAAGACTTTATTTACAGACAACCATCCCAATCAAAGGCATCGCTCAATACAATTCATAATTCATACTAACGCCCGCTTCATCAAACGCAACAACCACTCAGCATCCTCCCACCCACCCTGGGATCCAGGCTTCTCAATAGGAGCAGCACTACCAGTAGAACTCTCCCCGTCATCGGACAAGTCCCCATCCCCAACCGAACCTAGTGAAAGCACATCATCGTCCCGCCCAGAAACCAAACCAGGCTCCTCAAATGTAACAGTAGTAGTATCCGCCGTACCAATCCGCGAAGCAGCCACCGCGGCGGGCACAGCAGTCGGAACAGCCACAGGCCACTCCTCGACCCCGAAAAGCGTCCACTCAACCAACCGGTCAATCCAAGAGCCGAGCCCGAACCCACGCTCACGCGTCAGCTGCTGCAGATCCGCCTCATCGAACTCATCCGACATCTCGTCAGAGCTACACGAATACTCAGACGAAGTCTCATCTTCGTCCGAGCCAGCCCCATCCCAGTACACAGAGCCTTCATCTAACCCGCGCTCACGGTGCTGCAGCGATGCCATCTCAGCGCGAAGGTGCGCGTCCACGAAGTCTGGCACTAGGGGACTACGGCCGCGCGCTTCGGGGCTCGCCGTGCGTGTCGCAGTTCCTGTATTCGTTCCCGAGCTGGTGAATACGTTATCTGCTGTCGTTGAGGTAGACGATACCGCCGGGATGGCAGTCATGGTTAGATCGACCCTACTGCCGCGTCTGCTGCCGGCGCGGGAGCGAGAGGCGCGACGGGACCCTGCGCCAACTCCGCCTGGGGTTGAGGCGCCGGAGCGAGAAGCGCGCCACGAAGCACCTGATTTGGTGCGGTGGTGGTGGCGGTTAGTAGATGTTTCGTCGAATGCTGTGAGGCTTGTTGAGCTCTCGCGCTTAGTGAGCCAGCTTTGGCCTTTTTCCTCACGTGTTGAGGAGGCGAGGGCAATGCCTGCGCGGAGCATCCATTCTGCATCGGATTTGGATTTCGGCGTGCTGTCCGGCAGGGGGCGTCGTCCTTGCGAATGAGAGATGCTGTGATGTTTCTTGTGCGTATTTTGCATGTGGTGGAGGGCATGGCTTAGCTCCCTATTGTGTAGATTCATGTCGCTGAAGGGTCCTGCCCCTGTAGAGGTTTTGCTCCGCGTGTGATGGCGGCTTCGCGAGTTGCTACGTGAGTGGGAGAGGATCGGTGGCGTGCTTGGGACTGAAACGCTAGATAGATATGATGATGCTGGGGGTGTGTGAGTACCACTGGTTGGAGTTTCATGGTCGCGGTGATTGAAGTAGTCTGTTGGATCTGTGTCGTCGTCAATGGGAAATCGTGGGTTTAAGGGCGAGAGAGAGATGTGGTGAAGGGATGGGTATGAGCGACGGGAGTGGAAGCCTCCCGAGGTGGTAGACTATATATAGGCCACGTTAAATCTCCATTTCATGTCTTTTTTCTAGTTCGGAAAGTAATTTACCTCCATCGTGGGTTTTCCGGCTGAAACCTGAAGTAGAATCAAAGAGGCAGAGGTCGAGATGATAGAAATGCGGAGTTGCTGCACGTGCGGTTGGCATGTGAAAGTGGCCGAGCCCGGCAATTGAAGTTATTATGCCCGAGGATAGAAATATAATCAATAAATACTTTGGGAGAGATGGATGAGTGGAATATTGTTAAGTATAAATAAGTAGAGTAAGATGAAATGACCTATAGATGACGGATCTATATAAATCGTCCAACATTGCGAGGAAGCCCAGCACAGTCCAATCATACGACCATCTAATGGTATGATGAGTGTTCGTTTGGTGCAATTGAATTGAATGTACGAAAAAGCAGAGGTTTCTTTCTTTGTACAAAATAGCCATCAAAATATTTACAGCATACAAACATATATCATAACCGCTCATAGGCGCGAATCTTGAAAATCCATATATCCCTGACCCTTGACCTTCAAGTCTTCTAGAACATTATACTCCATAATCCATTTCATGCGCTCCATCAATGCATCCGGGTTGAAGTTGTTGGACATCTGGTCGGGAGAGTCTGAGCTAGCCAGCTTGCCGGCTTCGTAGCTGGTCATTGTAACCCGGTCTGTCCGAGGCTTGCGCAGGTCCTGGTAAAACTTGAATGCAGCCTCTAGGTCGTCTGTCTTCCAGTGTCTAAGGACTATTGCAAGGGCAATGCCTGATTCAATTGCCATGCATGTTCCTTGCCCTATAGTATACTGTTAATCTATGTCCCGCAATAAGACTAGACACAAATCGGATGCAACGTACCTTGATGAGGAAGAGTCGAGTGCGCCGAGTCACCAAGCAGAATAATGCCAGCATCCTTCTGCCCATTCTTCATCTCATACCATTTGTCGATTGGGTCACGCACGTACAGCGCCTGTTTGAGCATCTTGCCATCCTCTGAGCTCTTGCGCAACCCAGAAATGATATGCTGCACCTCCGGGCACCAGTCACGGACGTGCTCCTGGAGACTATCAATATCCGAGCGAGACATCCAGCTCTCAGAGTCCCATGCCTCAAGCGACTCAGACATAAAACCGATGACGGCAGCACGGTCGGTCCCCGTCTCCCGGTTACCAATAGGTAAGATCAGGACATGTCGCCTGGGTCCACGAAAGTTAACAGTCTTGCGCAGAAGCTGCGCCGTCTCAGTGGGTAGGTCCTTGTAGTCGACGAATCCACGATATACCACCTGACCAGAGTAGTTGGGGTCGTCTCCCAGGCCCATATTCCGGCGCACATTAGACTTGATACCATCACAGCCGATCACGATATCTGCCTCCGCGGTGCTGCCATCCTGGAAGTGAAGGGTAAACGGTGCAGCACCGGCGGCAGCATTGTGGTCGACGGATACCAGGTGCTTGCCCAGGTTCAGGCTTGACTCGGGAACGCGCTCCTTCAGTGAGTCCAGTAGGTGGGCGCGGTGCAGCAGGCGTGCGGGGGGCTGCGAGAATTCACCAATGTGACCTACGTAGTCTCCGGTCTTGTAGTTGTGGTATTCCATGTAGCTGGGCAACTTGCGTGAGGACTTCCGCATCATGCTCTCTTGTAGACCGAAGGCGTCCAAGACGCGGTTTGCGTTCGAGGTGATGTTTACTCCGGCGCCGACTTCACCGAACTGTGCTGCTTGCTCGTATAGTTGCACGTTCTTTAGGCCGGCGTATAGTGCAGCGTTGAGGAAGGCCATGCCTCCTAGGCCGCCGCCGATGATTGCAACTCGCTTGTCTTCGAATCCCATTGTGAGCATGGGATATCTTGAGAATGAAATGCGGAGGATTTGGAGGTACTGAAAGAGATATTCTTGAGAGAATGATGATCGATGCTCCAGGTTCTTAAGCAAGCTTTATATATATCCGTTCGGAATTCCCCACAATACCCCCTCTCCTCCCACAGGGCCCGGGCTTGATGGATTACAAAGTACCCGATCAACCATCTTGGAGATGCCCTTCGGAGCGTGGGGTAGGTGTGGGGCGAGCAATGCCGATATTCTACCTCGAATTTCCCGAGTTCCAACAGGCATTGTTGTCGAATACATGCCATCTTTCCGAGTCTCGAGAATCCAGGGAATATGCAGCTTTGGAGACTTTCCATATTGGGCATATTCTGTTATATATCACATATCGGATTCGGTAATGCGAAGCAACTCCCGAGGTCAAAAGTAGATATGGTATGTATATATTTCTTCAATGTTGATATAACCCTGGAGACTGCAGATAACTAGCAAGTATATTATACAATATATCCCGGATGATCTGCATAACGGAATAGAGTCACCTAGGTAGGCATGTCCTAGAATCGGAAGGCCCCGCCATTTTGGAGCGGCCACATCCGAAAGCCACAGGGGTCTTCGGATCATCCTTTGATTGGGTCACCGGCAATAGAGAACCCTAAGTGGGACCAACTCCGCTATATCAAATCATCTTCCTTGTCATTGGCCGGGTAAAGTCGAGAGAAAGAAATTAAGCTGGGACTTCGGGATGTGTTCTATAGACTCCGTATTTAACCGCTTTTTACTCCACAATTTTTCCCTTGTTCACAACAAAGCCCTCCAAAGCGGCAATGGCCGCCCACAAACGATTTTCGGCTTCCGGGAAGACTAGAGAGCGCGGGCTGTAGAAGACCTCGTCATCCACTTCCTCCGGGTGGCGGGGCAGGCAGTGCATGAACTTCCAGCCCTCCTTAGCGCCACCACGCTTAGCCAAATCAGCAGTGATCTGGAAGCCCTCGAAGGCCTTCATCCGCTGCTTGGATTCCTCCTCCTGGCCCATGGAGACCCAGGTATCCGTAACCAGGATGTCCGCGTTCTTGACGGCTTCCTCGGGAACGTTGGTCTGGGTGAGCTTGCCAGCCTTGGGGACACCCTCGCCGGCGCGCTTGATGATGTCAAGCATATCCGCGGGGATCTCGTAGCCCTTAGGAGTAGCAACAGCCACATCAACGCCCATCTTAGCAGCGCCAATGGCCATATCGAACAGAACGTTGTTCGCATCACCAACCCAAGCGATCTTAAGACCCTCCAGACCCAGGCTGGAGAGCTTGTGGGCATGAGACGGGAAAGTCTCGTAGATAGTCAAAAAGTCGGCGATGATCTGGAGCGGGTGGAAGGAGTCGCACAGCGCATTGATCACAGGCACGGTGGAGTGCTGTGCCAGACCTGCGACGTCCTCGTGTTTGGCGACACGCGCAACAATACACGAAACCATGGACGAAATGACAACGGAGGTATCGTATAGGGACTCGTTGACACCGAGCTGGATGTCATCCTTTCCGAGGAACATGGGGTGGCCGCCCATCTGGACGGTGGCGGCTTCCGTGGATACGCGGGTGCGAGTACTGCGCTTGTTGAACATCATGGCCACGGTCTTCCCGGAGAGGGATCCCAATAGGCTTTCCGGAATGGCTCCGGACTTGATGGCACGCTTGTGCGAGGCAGCATTGCGGACCAGGGTAGCGAATTCCGTGGGGGTCAGGTCGGCAATGGAGAGAAGGTGACGAGGGGCGAAAGGGGAGGTGGGAGGTAAAGTCGATGTCTGGTGGGCAAATCGTCGGATTCCATTAGCCTGGAGTGTTCGAAGCAAAGATGAGGTGGAGCCGGCCAATTGGTTTACACTTTGGGCGCCATAACGGGCGGCAGCTGTGAGACCACTAGCCATGATGAGCTGGGGGTTATTGGTGAGGAATTGGAGGGTTGTGGGAAAGGGAAAAAAAAAGAATGGGCCCTAAAAATGAAGAAGAGTGACTCAATAAATTAATCTGGTGGATGTGGGAGGGTGTGAATGCCTTGGCGCCCCATAATTCAGGTGCCAAGGTGTCTAGTCAGTTAACTAGTCATCTCTCCACAATTCCATGGTTCCGTTATCATCGACTTATCGTCATCGAGGGAGCGCCTCTTCTAAGGTTACATCTTGCCTCTTTCTCTCTTTCTCTATGTTACGTGCTTTGGATTCATTCTTTTCATACAACTGCTATTAGTTCCAGGGACCACACCTCATTGTGATTTATCCATACATTTAAGGCCACGATGGCTGACGAGGCAAACCGGCCTCTCCTAGCTGCGCAGTCTGGCTCCGAGAGAGCATCCGACGACCAGCCCGGGCCATCATATCAATTATCAACAGAGTCATCAAATATTTCACACGGCGAAGATGACATGACGATTTATAGCAGCGAGCAAAGATTATCGCGATCTTCTTCAGGCGGGGTTCAGGGCAATCATACATCCCAGGTCGCGGCTGCTGAAGACCCTAGGCGACCTCTGCTAGATGGACAGTCTAGCCCTCCTGAATGCCTCACCGCGAGAACATCCCTCGACGAGCCTAGGCCATCATATGAATTGTCATCAGAATCAACACCTCTATTACACCGCCGTGAAGATGAACTGATCGACGGGACCGAGCAAGGATTGTCGCGATCCCCTTCATTCGCAACACAGAACCGGCCCGAGAATGGTGCAATCAAGAAGCGGAGCCGTGTACCATGGCCAACGGTCATCTCTCTCGCTCTTTTGACACTCAGTGTTTTGACGATACTGGTACTTGCCTTTGCTGCTCCGGCGGCGGTCAAAGAATATGCGCAGCAAGCCGCTGTCTTCAAACCGACTGCAGTATCAATTGATTCTACGACACCCGACGGCGTTCGAGCCCGGATTCAGGGCAACTTCGTGATGGACTCGGGTCGCGTGAAGAATAAATCGGTTCGAGGTATTGGTCGGTTGGCGACATGGATTGCCAGGGAAGTCGAGACGGGCCCATCGAATGTTGAGGTCTATCTCCCAGAATATGGGAACGTGCTTGTCGGAAACGCAGCATTGCCCTCCATCAAAGTGAATATCCGTAACGGCCATCATACCGATGTCGACTTCCTCACTGATCTAGAGGCTGGTGATATTCAAGGAATCCATGCGATAGCTATTGATTGGATTGAGGGAAGATTGGGCCGCCTTAGTGTTAAGGGAAAGGCGACAATGCATCTTAAGTCAGGCTTGATCGCTTTGGGAACTCAAGTTTTAACAGATTATATTATCGTCGAAGGTATAGTGTATATTGTTTTTGGTACTGGAACATCTAAGCTAACCCCCTTCTCAGAACATGATTTCCCTGCTCTGCCAAAAATCAATATCCTCAAGCTGAATGTGCATGATGCAAACAGTGGTGCCATGGCAGTGGATGTCTTGCTTTCGTCTTTGATTGATTCTCCCGTCGCTCTCACTATTCCTGCCCTTGGATTTGACATTCTGGTACCCAACTGTTCGCCTGGCGATGCCTATATTCTGGTCGCCAATGCGAAGACAAGCGCAGTAGAAGTACGCCCTGGCCAGGCAACTGCAGTCGGCGTTGATGGTCTCATCCAACAGCTACCTGATGAATTGACCTCTACCTGCCCAGGACGGGATGGTTCTCCTCTAGATCTTCTGGTTTCGAGCTTTATGCAAGGTCTCGAAACGACTATCTACGTTCGTGGATCCGATGCACCATCTCCCAATACCCCATTATGGATTGTGGATTTGCTGCGCAGTGTGACTGTGCCTCTTCCATTTACGGGACATGCGTTGGACAACCTCGTGAAGAACTTCACGATGTCCGATACACATTTCTCCCTTCCTAACCCTTTCGCGGAGCCAGATTCTCCAGACTCGCAACCCACAGTGTCTGCTCTAGTGAAGGTTCTCACTGCTTTGCCAGAGGAGATGAATTTCCAAGTAGAAGTCCCGCAAGTTCGTGCCCTTGCAGATGTCTACTACAAGGAAGAGAAGTTTGGCGTGTTGAACATCAGCCACTGGCAAGACGCCAACTCCACAATGGTGGACGATGAAGATGGCTCCTCTGCACTCCTTGTGGAGTTTGCAATAAAGGATGCACCATTGCAAGTCACAGATGACGGGCTTCTGGCAGAGGTCATCCAAGCAATGCTTTTCGGTAGCGAAACAGTCGTACTGCGGGTTGCTGCCACCGTAGACACAAAGGTCTCAACTGGTTTGGGCCGCTTCGCCGTGCGAGGGATTCCTGCGGAGGGAAAGGTACCCGTGAAGAGTATGTTTTCATGAGTTAGAAGATCTTAGTACAAATCAAGAATATTTTGGCCATTGACCATGTCATAGCTTCCATCGGCAACTCACTTGACCAAATCAATCCAAGCGTCGTCTCATTACAAATAGGAAACACGACTGAGTCTTCGATGTTGGTGTCTACGCAGGCAAACTTCACCAATCCAACGGATTACTCGGCCACAGTCCCCTTCGTTGACCTTCTCATACTCTACAATGACACTGCTGTGGCCCACATCACAGCTCATAATATTTCTATTGGGCCTGGCAACAACAGTTACGTGCCCATCGACTTCTCTTGGTGCCCGTTGGACGCAGGTGGAGTAAATGGCGTTGAGGCAGGACGGGCGTTGTTTTCATCCTATATATCAGGTCAGTTCCTTCTAGATGGTATGAATCCAAGTGGTAGATTATGCTGATGCTTTGAGCCAGGGTCCAATACAACGATCACTATCAAGAGCCATCGAAACACGGTTCCATCTCTACCACACCTGGGCGAAGCATTATCAGTCCTTAACATCACTGTTCCTGTCCCTCGCATATCTATTCCGGGTTCCCCAGGTGGTGATGATGAGGACAAAAAGCCTCACTTCATCCAAGATGCAACGGTACATGCTCCTTTTGCTCATACCAGATAAGGGAAAACTTCCTACTAACGCTTACTCTAGTTCTACCTCTGGTCGTCCACAGCAGAATTCACCCTCTCCTCGCCCCTAACAGAAAACAATATTCTAATCACCTCAATCGACGCAACGGCGTTCTATGAGAAAAATGAACCAATTGGCCGAATCAATAACCATGAACCCTTTGAGGTGCCGCCTGGTATATCCAATAGCCCACGCTTGCCAGTCGATCTTGACATAGGCGGGGTTGGGTACGACGCCCTGCGCAAGGCACTCGGTCAGTCGTTGGAGATGGATGCCACCGCCAAGGTTGGAGTGTTGATTGGGAACTATATGGATGTCATTCTCTACCATGGGAAGGGCATTGCGGCTAAAGTGAGGATTTAGAGTGTTGTAAACCTGCCAGGGCCTGCATAACGGTGGCCTTGGTCTTGGTCTTGGGTTATGCTCATTGCTGCTGGATCAGGAATGCCCAGATACCCATGATATCTGGATTGGATCAAACCCCGGTCGTATTTTATGAGGGTATGGATATAGACTGCTCTCCATTTATATCCAATGAAAACCAAGTGAACCCAGATCAAAGTAAATGATAGAAACATATATAAAACCTAGAACGACTCGTAAGGCTCCATAAGTAAAAGACTAACGTCTGTACTCCTGTCCTGGTAGGACATGCATGGCTGGGTAGGAAAGGCGAAAAGAAGACAAAGAAAAACGCAAATAGCCAAAAAGATTTGAGAGGCCAAATCGAGCCGGATTAGAGATCACAATGAATTCATCCGAGCTTGCGCGTCCCAGCACCGCCACGTCCATTCTTCTCGGAATTAAAATGATATGGTTCTTCATCTGGGTCTTCTGAAGGAGACCGCCCCCCCGTCCTTTAAGTTTTTTAAACCGTGTAGTAGTACATATAACTACACAGTCCCACTCAGGTATGTACTGTTAAGATGGGCTATACACTGCATAATGGACCCTATATATTGTATACACGCTAGATAGTTCCCTAGCAATCATGAATATAATTTAGTTGAGAGCAGTCGGAATTTCTTTCAGATGCATTTATGCAGTATTTACATTGTTCTCTCAGTTTGCCCTGTCAGGTTGTCACCCCGGTAACACTTTATACTTTAGGCTGATACTAGAAGATATATATATTGGTTTAACATCATGAGTACCATACTAGAAATGTCCCAAGGTTGATTTTCTCCATGATTAATCCCTGGGAGGCTATTGGAGTACTAGGAGGTAGTGGCCCGGGGAGTATGTACGATCTCCGATATAGGCAACGCCACGGCAGATGTGGAATATATTGGATAACCGCACACCGCCACTTGAAGTATCATTTTATCATACAGCCATTAGTATGAAGTAGTTGGGAAAGAAATATGTATAGATGCGAGGGAAACAATAGCTTTCATTTTACATACAATGGCTAAGCCATTCATTTTCAAATTAGAAACTCCACGGGAAAGCTAGAAGATATACAAAGCTAAGAGACCGAACCAATCCTATTCGGGTATGTAAGATTTTGAGTTGGGATATTCGATATGTAGCTTAGCCAGGGGGCAGGGTGCTGGCATCGACAACGTCGGCAGCATCCTTCTCAATCTCCTCGTTGGGCTCACTCAGAGGAGAGCGGGGAAGGGCCATCAGACCGGTTCGGGTGGACTCGAGAATACCGAAGGGACCGATCAGCTTGAGGAAAGAGTCGATACGGGAAGGCTTGGCAGAGCTGTGGGAGTTGAATGAGTCAATTGTGATCAGATGTATGAGTCAGGACAGAGAAAATACTTACACCTCAACAATGCAGTTGTTAGTGCTGATATCCAGGATCTTACCACCGAACTGGTGAGCCAGGCGGGTAATGGCATCCAAGTGCTCGTGCTTGTGACGCAGAGCCTGACTCTGGGGAAGATGGCGGGGGTGGTATTGCTGGGCGGTGTGGTCAAGGCTGTGGTGCTTGTGGTCCAGGGAGTCTGGCGAGGTGGTGATCTCGCGGTGGTGCTGGAGAAGCTCTTCGAAGAACTCAGGACCAAGGATAGAGACCTTAGCCAGAAGAAGCTCACGCTGCACAAGAGCAGAGTCGGTGTAGTCCAACACAGCCCAGACGGGGACGAGGTCGTCTAGCTGGCGGCGAGCCTGCTCGACGACACCATCCTGGCCCTGCAGTACGATGGTCATGCGGGAGAGATCCTCAACCTCGGTGTTGCACACCACCAGACTGTCGATATTGAAGCCACGAGCGGCCAGGATACCAGACACACGGGACAGCACACCGGGCTCGTTCTGCACGAGGCAGTTCAGAATGTGCCGCTTGGGTGGGTTGGTGGGAGCCACGGGAGTCTCATAGAGAATGGAGGAGACGGCAGTCGGAGCATCCCATTGAGGGGAGGCATCAGAGACCGGCAATGGCAGAGGAGACCGACGGTGCAATGCCTTGTAGGCAAGAGCTGAAGTTGAGCTCGATGATGCACGAATAGAGGTGAATCGGGGAAGGGCAGCAGCGCGAGACCGGGCAGTAGCTGCAACAGATGACAGCTGTGACGCTGACCCCAGGGACAGCGTCAATGGGCGCCTGAAAGCCATGAGGAGGTCAATAAATGTGAATGGGTTGTGCGATGATTCACCAGATTCGCCCCGGGGATATTCTTTTTGGTCGGCCGACCTCGGCGACCGCCTGCTGACTCATAGTTAACTAGATCCAAAGCGGTATGGTGCATCTGTCGGTGATAACGACACGTGACTTAACATCACGTGATATTAAATACTCAACATGGCCGAAGACATTGCCAGACAACCCGACGAGCTCTTGGAATTGAGAAATATATGATATCACTGACTATTCTCATCACTTTGAGCTTTTCAATTTACTAACCATCTCCTCAGCTCTGGCTTTGGTGGCTTTGTTTGTTGGCTGCTCGGGCCTTCGCCTCTAAAACTCCTTCCCGCGATCGATCTGGACCTTTTCAAGCTTCATTTCCCCGACCTTCCCTCTCCTTCACTCTACCCCACCTTTCACCATGGCAGAAGATGAACACCGAGTCAAGCGGTCTCGCTTTGACCAGACTGAGCCTGAGCCCCGGCGATCCCGATTTGACCGACGCTCTCGATCCCCGTCCAACCGCCAGTCGGAGTCGGCCCGCACTCGTAGTCCGCTGAGTCGCCCGCTGAGTCGCAGCCCTGGCGCAGATGCTCCAGCTAAGCCATCTACAGTGGATCCAGCCGCTGCCGCAGGTGCGTTACACTTGGGTTAATATAATGTCATACATTGGATCTTGTGGCTAATGACTGTGGTCTTTATAGCGGCAGCAGCAGCGAAGATCAATGCGCAGCTTCAGGCGAAAAAGGGCATCCAACATGTTGATGTTCCTCCAATCCGCTCGGTGAATATACAACAGTCACTCCGATTTGTTCTGCCCAGTTCCTAACATTGTCGAACAGGCCGACAACGCGACAGAGAATTCCCAGTCGCCTTCCACCGAGGGCGCAGCGAAGCTGAATGCCGAAATCTACGTCGCAGATGGAGACTACATCAAGGACATTGAGATCAACGACCTGCGCAATCGCTACACCCTGACGAAGGGATCGACTCAGAAGATGGTAATTATCCCCTTTGTCACTTGCTGATATTCCAGCCATGTTCCTTGTAGAAGATTGGGGTGCCTTGATTTTTGCTTTCTCGTTGTTCTGCTATCTCCTTTTGGACTGGATGAAGCTTACCCTTCACTAAAACATAGCATCCAATCCACCCTCTGTTGCATCTGCTGACCTCCGCTGCGTGACTTATAGATTCAAGATGAAACCGGCGCCGGTACGACTTCCTTTTATATTTACAATTTTAGGCAAAGAAGGTCTCGCTCACTGTTTTTTTCTCTCAAGATGTGACAACCCGAGGCAATTATTACCCCGACAAGAACATGGCGACTGCAGCAGTAAGGAATGCCACCCCAAGGTTGGTGAGATCAGTGCTGATTATCCCGATTTAGAGCCCTCCCCTTTATCTACATGTGACTAGCACCAACAAGGATGGTCTGGAGAAAGCGGTCGCTATGATTAATGACCTGATGCAAAAAGAACTTCCGAATCTGGTTGACGAGCGACGTTTCCGCCGCCGGGAACCCGAGCAACAGGTTGAGCGGGATGAGTATGGCCGTGTATGGGACTGTTCCTTTTCCCTTTATTAATGATTTTTTTTGGCTAATCTCACATAGCGCAAATGGCCGGATGAGCGCATCCCCATCGATCTTGAGCCAATCCCGGGTTTCAACCTGCGCGCCCAGGTTGTCGGACAGGGCGGTGCTTATGTGAAGCACATCCAACAGCAGACTCGCTGCCGTGTTCAGATCAAGGGCCGTGGCTCTGGCTTCATCGAATCGAGCACTGGTCGTGAAAGTGACGAACCGATGTTCCTCCATGTGGCGTGAGTTATCATCTATTTTCTTACCGACCTTATTTCTCACTTGCTTTTTGCCTCGCTCATTTCTACCACACCGATGAGCCTCTACTGACAGCCTTTCAAGTGGTCCCGACGCCAACGATGTCCAGCAAGCAAAGGAGCTTTGCGAGGACCTTCTAACCAATGTTAAGGAACAATACCAGCGTTTCAAGGAGAACCCACCCCAGCACAACTACGGTGGATACGGCAACCGTGGTGGTGATCGTGGTGACCGTGGTGACCGCTACCAAGGAGGAGGTGGTGGAGGTGGTGGTGGATACGGCGGCGGCTACAACAATCGCCAGCAGCATAATACTTCCTCTGCTAGCCCTGCAGGACAGGCTGGTGCTGCTGCTTCTGCTGCTTCCCCGGGTGCTGCTGCTTCCCCCACTACCGCCGACTATAGTGCCCAGTACGCCCAGTACTACGGCACTGCCGACCCATATGCTGCCTATGGTGGATACCAGAATTACGTCGCATACTACCAGTACTATCAGCAAATGGCTGCCGCCCAGCAGCAGGCAGATGGAACTGCTCCACCTCCTCCTGCCAGCGAGGCCCCTCCTCCACCCCCGAGCTCAGGATCCCCGCCGCCTCCGCCTCCCGGTGCAGGCGGTGGTGGCTACAGCGCGGTACGTTGTTCACCTGTCATCTATACTAGTTATATTTGCTGATATATGAATTGCAGGTCCCTCCACCCCCTGGTCTTTGAGCCAAAACCTGTTTTGGTGGGTTAATCTTGTGCCCTCCGCTGTTCAGTCGCAATTTATTTGATATCTACGGCAAACAAAAGCATGTTCTGGTCGTTTGAAAAAACGAGGGTATACAGCGATTTCTTTTCGTCAATCTCTTTTTGATCTCTTTGTCTTTGCTAAAGAAAGTCCAACAGTTTTCCTTGTTCTAACCTTTTCATTTGCCTATTTCCATACTCGGTAAACTTGATAATTGTGTTCATAATAAAAGGCTTGCTTATTGACAGTGGATTTCTTGCTGTGGCTAAACTATTTAGAAGCGAACGCACGTTGCTGAGAGGTTCGCATGCTGGATTTCATGTCTCTGTCTCTGTGGTATATGTGAAGTACAAAAAAAATTCCCTCCCCCTTGCGCCATTCATGCTGTTGCCACCTCAGAAATGCATGCAGAAAACCTAACAGAAGTAACAAGATGACAAGAAAAAATAAAGAAAACACTAAATCGTACAGCCTAATCAAACAGAAGATGATATCCCTCAGTCGAAATCCGCGTATAGGAGAGCCATCTCAGTCTCAGATGCCATTTTCTCCCGGCGTTTGGCCAACCCGGCATGGCCCTCTTTGCAGAAATCGCAGGCGAAGTCGCAAGGGGACGAGCTCGTAACACACGCACCCTCTCTGGCTGGCAGTTGTGACCCCATTTCTTCCAGCTCGAAATCACCAAAGAACTGTTTGATCAGTTCATGTCTACACCTCCTAATACTCTCACAGTACCGAATGACCTTGCCGAAGCTTTCAAGCTTGGCCTCTCGGTTTTCGGGGCCGTTCGCACGGTGGGATTCAGTATCACGGTGGATCATAGTCTCTATGAAGTTCCTCTCTTGAATTCCGTAGTAGACAAGTGAGGTCGCGGCGCGGCCGTCTCGACCTGCACGGCCCGACTCTTGAACAAAGCTTTCGAAACTTCGCGGTGGTGTCCAATGCACGACAAAGCGGACGTCTGGATTGTCAATTCCCATCCCGAAAGCATTTGTTGCCACAATAATGGAAAAAGCGGGTGTCTTTTCCCCACCAGCTGGTTGGAATGACCGAGATGACTTCCATGTTGATTGGATTTGTGCGCGTTTGGCGGCTTCCACGCCGGCGTGGTATGCCACCGCCGTGACCATCTCGTCCGAGGATTGGGATAGCCGGCTGGCAAGATGCTCAGCCAAAGCTCGAGTCCCCACATATACGATCCCTGACATTGGAGGCAGCAGCGCTACTCCACTGCCAAGTCGGGCTTCGCGTCGGGCTTGGATGCCCCGAAGCCATCTCAGCAGGTTCTGCAGCTGGCTATCTTCTGCGCTACTGTTGTCACCAGCGAAATCTGCAAGATATCGTACCTCGTAGTGAATATTTGGTCGGTCCGACGGAGTATTGAACAGCCGAAGATTTTCAAGATCTAGCCCCAATATGTTGATCATGTCCGAGCGAACTCGGGGGTCGCAGTCGCTGTCAACGCAGTGATGGGCACAGTCGGGTTGACAAGATTCCTTCTGAACCAGCCTAGGTTTTTGTAAGCCGGGCGGAAATCATGGCCCCATTCACTGATGCAATGCGCTTCATCAATGGCAACGCGTATAAGCTGGCCTTGCTTGTGAACTATGAGTAGGCGGCGGCGGAAGTTGTCTGTCTGGCACAATTCTGGCGTGACATAAAGAAGACGTGTGACCGGGTGGCCACAAAGCATGTCCTCGAAAACTCGCTGTCTCTCCTCATGAGTAGTGTTGGAATTGATCGTAGCCACTGATACACCAAGAGATTTTAAAGTGGTCACTTGATCTGTCTGCTAGGGATTAGCTGCGTGATTGCAAATGCTCTGGAACTATGCTCACCATTAGAGAGAGCAGTGGACAAACGACTACAGTCACTGGACACACACTGAAGTCAGGCTAATCTGTCATTGAGAATAAGAGATACTGAGCACTCACAGCCCCAATCCTTCAGTACTGCAGGCAGCTGATAACACAAGCTCTTTCCAAACGAAGTGCATGCTTGAAGGAAGACATCATGCCCTTCTATGACGGAGGAGATCACTTCTCCTTGAAGTGGACTAGGTGGTGGAGTAAGTATATTGACCCTCTTCCCTAGTTCATCAACTCACCGGAAATCATTCTTTTTGAAGGTATGTTTCAAGACCCATCGCATATTGGCTAGTTGGCGCGTTACCGCCGGGTTATGATCCATTGTGCTTCATAGCAGAGATAGATAAGTTGAAAATGGGAGGTGCAAGTACAATAGAAGAAGCAGATTGAGCCTTCAACCGCATCCCAGAACGCGGTGTCACGTGGCGACTTATTGCTTCCTCTTTGGGATTGAATGGACTTTTCAATTTGATTTTACTTTTGCTTGATGACGGTAACTACATATACACCGGATTTTAGAACGCACGACATGGCTTTGCCTTTCTACTTTAGTGCTCACCTTTTGCCGCTTTTTGCTCACTGAGTAAACTGAGCGTCGATCTTGGTTGTTTCGCCTCTAGCTGTGAGGCGAATGCACAGTGGGGCCACATTTATTTGCATTACTAGCCACTATTCAGCTCGTCAAGTCTCGCATTCGACACCATATCTACATAGTTATGAGAATATCTTAGAAAATTTCAGATTAACGGTTTGTAAATCCAGTGTTTTATTGTGATTTTTGTCGCTTGATTTCTAACGGACTATCGCTCTTGCTGCCTATCGCTTGCTCCTAGGAATACATACGACTTCAGCTCTAGCGATCTCGGCATCCGTAACATTCTAGACCTATCGGTGATATCTATGCCTCTTAATAGCATCATATAATTCTCATCATATTCCGCAGGGTGTAGCAGCCTTTTGATTGACGGCCACATTGATAGCTTGTGAGCCACAGTACTGTGCTTAACTGGGATGACGAGCTCTCCCTCACTCTGCTGGTCGTCGAGCCTCGGGATTAAACGCTTGCGTTGACATTTGGCGATTCTACGCTAAATAATAGTCTTAAATGCTACATGGATTTCAACCGCGTTAGCTACACTAAATACCACTACTTCCGCCATTATCACCCGGGCCAATGAACGCCGAGTCCCACGCGAAAGAGACACCCGAGACTTGCAGCAGCATGGAAGGACATAGGCCCGAAATTTGCAGACCGACTTAAGCACCATGAACAACCAGCAGGAGGAGATTGACGGTATTGTTACCCGCATTGAGGACCACCTTCGCCAATTATACGGGTAGTAGGTGTTCCATCTTGCCTAACTAGGGCTTGGACGAGCCGTCGTTTTTCTTTCTTTCGAATGGGGGGTTTCTGGCATTGACCAGTGTAAATGAAGCCCCTATGTGCTGAAACGCAACGAAGCGCATTCCTCACTGAGCATAACATATGCGAATAAGTAGAAGTAATACCAAGCGAAGAATATAGAGTGGACTACCGAAGACAAGGTGTCAATCCGTGGTAGAGCAAGAGCAACAAAACAATATGGTCATCATGATATAGGACATACTTTCCCCCGGTAAACTCATGTCACGCCGCTTTGCTCTCTTTCTCTCCCACGCTCTTTCTCCCACACTATTTCTCGCTGTTTCCTCGCTCCTACCATGACAGGAACGTACCCGTCAGGTACCAGCAAGGCTGAAGAGAACTTTGTTCTCCCTCGCTTTCTCGACAGCATTGCAATGCCAGACGTACCAACCTATCCAGCCATGTCAGAACAATCCTCATCCAGAAGAACATCGAGAAGACCGCCATCGGATTCCACCACGCCAGATCGACCGGCCTTCTCTTTCGCTCTACCTCCGCAACCAAAGTCACCTGGTGGTTCTACCAGGTCTGGATACTCAAACACAACAGCGATAACCCACAAGTCACCAGACTACACTATAGAACTACAAATGAGAGGCGTCATCGAAGCAGAAAATGTACCGCCGGAATTTGATAGCATCAGAAAAGCCCTACAGCGCAAATCACCAGGGCTCAACGCCCTTGATAAAGACACTGTCGATGGTTTCAACCAACTTTTAGTTGGCCCAAACAATGAAGCTACCATCCAAGCCGTTATCGTCCCCAACCTTATTGATCAAATCGGGATCGTTCGCAATCCGCAAACATATGCTATCAATCAAGCCCAGTTCGTGGCCGAAGGTGTCTTGCCTCCCCTCTTTCAAGGCGAGGAGATCACCAAAATCCCCTCACCATGTCCGGGCCTCACCATCGGCCTCTGGCGAGCTAGCTTCTGTGACTACATAGTAGTCCTGCATAAGCTAGGGACCATGGCATCCCCCATCGGCTGCGCCCCCGACATTATCTTCCCATGTTTTACGATAGAAGTGAAGGGAGACTCAGGAGCCAATGACGCGCGTATGCGAAATCAAAATAATGCTGCTCATATGCTACGCCACCTCCGTGATCTGTCCTCCCTAGCCCAGGGTAAAGAGTACGCGCAAAAGTCTTTTGACGGCGTGGTTCGAGTTCTCTCAGCAACAGTCACCGCACATGTCATTACTATCTCTGCACATTGGACGGTGGCGAAGTCTAATGATGTTTTCTATTACTCGCATTTAATCAAGTCGATTGCCACCGAGAGCCTGACCTACAGGCACCAACTCATAATTCGTCTAGTATGTAATCTATTGTGCTGTGAGATAGTGAGCAGGACCCTGAGCGCCCTCATAAAGCGGCGGCACCCCGGGAAATTCGCATCGGCCTAAAATCCGGTACATACTGCTACATATGTAGAGTCTACAAAACTGGACTTGGTCTTCATGTAAAATAATACAATTGCGCCAAAGACACGCTAGAAAGAGTCGGTATATGGCAGATCTATATGGAAAATAATGTACAAGTGCTGAATCCAAATTTCAGCTGCTCCTCATTCTTGTTCAGCGATTCCGATGCGGATCCCTGGACATCTGTTTATCAAGCTCTTCCTTGATGGCAAAAACATCAACTGCTTTGCGCTGCTGCGGATGCCAAAGCCGCTCAAGTTGCAACCACACCTCGAGGACCTCTTTGGGGCCACAGCATGTTCCAAATGCTTGCAGAATAACGGTGATCATCCGACGTCCAACAAAAAGACCATTTTCGAGACGCTGCTCGGGGTCCCAGGATTCTTCTTGCTCTGCTTCGCCGGGGAACTGCAAGCGAGGGTTGAAGACCTCATCTACATCAAGTTCCTCTATTTCTGTGGATTCATCTTCTTTTTCGTCCAGTTCAGGCTTTGCGTCTTGTTCATTGTCTTGAGAATCACCCATGGCAGAGCCCTCGGCAGTTTCCCCCGGTCCATGTGGATTTCCAACTGTGTCTACTGTTGGCAAAGCCATGTACAACCCGTTGGGAGAATCGGTCACTGGTAGCTCCTCGACATCGATTGTCACGCTCTTAGCTAGTGGGTTCTCCCACGTCATCTTTCTGTTGTTCAGATTGAATCCACGGAGTCTTGTATTCGAGTCTCGCAGAGCCCGGATGTATGCATGCCATGTCAGCCGAAGGTTTTCTGCACTCCATTGCTTTTTTTTCCGACCGTGAAGAGCGAACCCTTCAAAGAGGAAAAGATAGATTATAGCACGTGGTGGGACGACAAAGGTCTTCTCCATGTCACGCATGACAGCCATGAAGCTATCAAGCTGGCCAGTGTTGTAGGCGTAGTGTCGGAGGAAGATATAAAAAGTTCGCGTGTCGGGTGCAATGGAAAGGGAATCCTGAAGAGCACGGTGGTATTCCGGAAGCTTCTCCTTGAGTGCTGACGATTTCTTCAATACGCGGCCCAACTTTCGGGCTCTTTCCCGATATTGAGGCATGTCATAGCTCAGATTTGACCCGCCAATGTGAAGGTGGGATCCATCGTCCGAATGCGAAAGGCATTTGTTATTGCTTGATTGTTTCTCCAGCATGCGTGCATAGAGCTGCTCCGCAGTTTGGATGTCGCCTGCCCGAAGGAAAGAGGCAATGAGGCAGTTCATGACAACTGTGTCGACGATCTCCCCGGATTTCACAAAGTCGTCAAAAGTCTCTCGAATACCTTCAACGTCTCGTATCATCCCAAAATAATAGATTTTGGATGTCTTTCCGCACCGTGAAAAACTCAGGCCCCGCTCAGTCATTTCCTCCTCCAGACGATCAGCAACTTTGAATGCACCGGCTTTGATTGCGATGTCGAACAAGATGTTGAAGACCACTTCGTCGGCCTTCACTCCAGCGATATGTTCCATCTTCTGCCACATGCCCACAGCCCGGATCAGATCTCGTTTGAGAACTTTGCCGTTGGCTCGGCCAGAAAGATGTATCGCGGAAGACCAGAGTGAGCGGGATAGAGGAAGTCGAGCAGTTACCATGTCGTCCACCAAAGCCAAGTAGCGACGAGCATCTACCCATCGTCGATCCCGAGGATGCGCGAACAGGCGCAAAAGAGCACCGCGGGTGCGTTTCGAAAGCAAAGCTACACCGGGTGCAGGAAGATCTCTGTATAATCGGAACAAGTATTGAGTGGATGGGTCTGGCTCTTCCCACAACGTTCTGACAAGCTTCTCAACCGAGTGGATTTCCATTTGATCCTTCGATTCCTCTTTCCACGTCTTTGTGTAACGCGAATATGGCGCTACAACATTCACTGCTTCCTCCCAATCATAATCTGCCATGGACTTTTCGTACAATTTTGATGTAGAGAGGCGTCTCTCCTTCTCGGGATGCAACCATGATGGGAAGGATTGGCGAGGATATTTGTCCGGCAATTTGGGGTCGATGTCGATATCGATGTCGGGTTTGGTGTGTTCTGTTATCTCTATTCTGCGGTCGAAATCATATGTAAAATCAAATCTTTCAGAACGGGTTTGCGATTCCGCGTCCGCATTCTTTGCCGGCCACAATGGTATATAGTCGTTGTCTTCTGTCTCCCTCTCCTCCCGGGACTCGGTCTCAATATTATACTCCTCTGTATTATCATCATTCGTACGTGCCAATCCGTTGCTGATCAATCTTTTGGGTTGCGACAGATGAAAACTTGAGCTCGAATACTCTGGCTGTCGTCGGGGTGGTAGCTGTCTGCGACCAGTGGCGCCTTTGCTCTGAAATTTTTGGAAATTATGATCTGAGGCGCCCCAGGCTACTGTTGACAACCCCCGACGACTCGGCGAGTGTTCGTGGCAGAAGCTTGCCAGAACCAGCGAGCCGACAAAAATATCTGCTATTGACGCGACGGACGGGCGAGGACGACGGGGACATAGTCTTCGGACCGAGGAGTTGTGAGAAGGGGGTTTCGAGGGAGGCATTGAGGTTTGTCGAAAGAGAGGAAGCTCATCCAAGGCCTGCTTGGGGTGAATTCGCAGGCTTGGCGAGCTGGGGGACCTATTTGGATGAGGCATGAGATAACAGACATCGTGGCATTAGGTAGGCCGCATCCAAGAGAAAGCCCTTTGCCACTCGCACAGGAGAGAGCCGTCTACTTTCTGGGCACAAAAAGTAGACAAAGGGGGAGAGGTTCAAGATTGGGAAGACGTAGGTGTGTTTTTCTGAAGATGAACGGCCCTGCACTTTCTGGCCTGGCGGAGTCACCTCTCGACCAATCGGAGCCGCGCTTTGCCAATCCCATCTTTTTTGCTACCGCATCAACCACCTCGTCCCCTGTAGCGCATATCTTGTTTCTTGATTTGCGGTCTCCAGTCGCGTCTCAATTCTTTTTTCTATTTCAAGTCATTTTAGCTACCTGCTGAATCCGACTGCCATGGGCAAAATAAACCTCACAGCCCTCCGGGTGCGACAGACAGCACTTAACCAATTCGCCAGTGGAAAGACCAGCAAACTGCCCCAATGGGTCGGTGTGGTCGGCGAGATCCCTCCTGCTGAAACCCTCATTCGTACCCGCCCTCCTCAGCATGAGCTTGTCCAGCAGCGGATGAAGACCGTTCCTGGGTCATCGAAGCCGCAGGTCGTCTTCCAAGTCCAAGAGAAGCACAGAAAGCCCAAGAAGCCCAGCCGACTTTTCCAGCCTGTCGAGCTCAAATACGAGGAAGATCAATTGCGAACCCAATTCTTCCGCGATCACCCCTGGGAACTTGCCCGGCCCCGTGTGCTTCTTGAGAGCACTGGCAAGGATTTTGAACACTATGATTGGAGCCGCATTCAGCAACCAGGGAAGCGGTTAGATGGTGAAAGGTGTGTTCCCAATGTTTTCGCTTCTAATACGTCTGCTCTTATTAAGTGAAAATCCCCCGATGCTAATGTGTTCCTTTTCCGGTACTAGTGTTGTCCAGCGACAGTTGTGGCTTTTGAATAACGTCCCCGATATCACCAAGAGTGCCGCCTATGATACCGCTCGCCGAGAATTCTACCGACTTCGGCTGCAGGAGGACATTCAACGTCGGGTAGCTGCGGAAGAAGCCTCGGCATATGGCGCAGAGTTTGGACCATCATACATGGACATTGGTATGAAGATGGAGAGCGAGCAGTACGACAAATGGGTTGCCTGGGCCCGGGAAACGTCTCTGGTCCAGGATCAGCGGAAATCAGCTCTTAGTGGTGCACCAGATCTGGGAGAGACCACTGAATCAAGTGAGATTGGGGCCGAAGAAACAGAGGCTCTCACTCAGTGAGAGTTTGAGATGTTGGAGTGAACTCGAACGCCATTATGCTACGCCTCTTTTTCCAGGAGTTTTTCGTCCCCTAGTCTTTCATATCTTTCATATTGATGGTCTATGTATATTATTTGATCTGTTCTGCTGGATGTTGTACTCCTCTAGCTCTATTTACGCGATAGCACATGCATTCTTGGTCAATTCACCTCTCAATTTAGTAAATAAGCTGTCTCCTTTAACACCCTAATATTTTCGATATAGTTACGCAGGCGGAGGTCGAGACGCAGAGTTGCGGAGGTCCGGTGTTTGGGCGTGTTTCACCCAATCAGAAGATTTCCAGCCTCGCTCAACTTGATTATCCCCAATTCCCTTCATTCCAGGACCAAGACTCCAGTGTTGATATTTCGTGGCAGTCTTACATTGAAGACCTTTTTTGCTTTATCACAACATTCTTCGACTTGCCAGATCTCTATTGTGGCCAATCTCTTTATCGCGCCCGCCATTGTCAACCTCCATAAGAGCTTCATTGAACCATTTCCCTCGGTCTCGAACAAGTCTGCTCCGAATTTCACCACTTGATACCCAGCTGATTCGTCACTTGACGATTCCGATCCCTCCTCCTCCACTCTTCCTCCACCCCAACGGCCACCTCGAGGTCGGTTCACTATCCAACGTTGAGATAGCCCGCCCCTCCGAGTTAATCACGACCAACGATGCTTTGCGCAGGTGCCCGAAGTGTGCTCATATGGTAATGGTCGCTGCACCTGGACATTATTTTGGCTTTTGGCAGTCTATCAATTCATCAACGAAAGTGCTGCCTTGGTGTGCGCTTGATCGACAAACCCCGGGCTTTTATCAGCCATGACATCCTCGACGACTCGTTCCGAGGATACAGTACGTGGGCTGCGCTTGAACTGCGGCGAGATAGATGAAGATGAAATGGAAAATGGAACGCCGGAGTTAGGTGGCTTCCTGGCGTCACAAGGCGATGACTCTCCGTACCCTGCCGAGGGAAGTCGACCAAGCACTGCTTTAGGAGATGCCCCGGAGACCATCAGCAAGCAACCGCCTGGGCCGAAAACGCTTAGCCCCGAGGAAACCATCGAGCTAGCACGACATGCTGTGGAAAGTGGGATTCAAGATACTAAACGTTCCCTGGCAGGCAGCGAGGCCGTCACTGATGTGGTCAAGCCTAAGTTGACCATTGATCTTGGTCATTCACACATTGCCAGGATCCCCGAACCAGTCGTTGACTTGATTAAAGATGAGGTCGAACGGTACGTCGGAGCCTTGCTTAACCATCTGGCCAAGTCTTGCGTTGCCTGTTCTTAGGCTACAGTATCACTGGTCTGAACTATACTAATTACTATGAAGACTGTCTCTTTCCAACAATCAACTTTTCCATATCCCATATCGCTTCGCAGAGTGCTCGCATCTACGCTATCTCAACATCAGAGCGAACAATTTCCGTGAATTCCCAAAAGGAGTATGTACAATGACAAATTTGCCTTGTGCATGAATTACGCTAATTCTGCTTGCTAGGTTTACAAACTACCGTTACTCGAGATTCTTGATTTAAGCCGAAATAAAATCAAAGAGCTACCCAATGAGATCAGCAAATTGAAGTCACTGCGAGTTCTGTCAATGATGCAAAATCGCCTCACTGACCTCCCAGCTGGGCTCTCTGAGATGCATAAGCTTCAAATTTTCAAGTGTGTCGGGAATCCTCTGAGAAAGCCACTGCGTGATATTCTAGAGGAGACCGAGACCGAGACGACACCATCTGTGATGACCGACAACGAGAAAGAAGTTGCATCCACGACCAAGCTCAAGAGATTTCTTAATAAAACGCGACAACAGACGAGTACACCCGAGCCAGAAATCATCACTGAAACAAGGTTTGTCCATCTTACGGTCTTGAGGTTAATATATGCTAACCTCGGTGTCAACGCAGTGATAGTACTTTCGAGGTTAAACCGGTACCAACACCAATACCTTCAAAGCGGAATTTGAGTGGTCGGTTTCCAGTAATTCCCAGCACTGGTGATAGCTCAGCAAGCTCATCTCGATCTCCGTCGATATCACGGGCACCGCCAATCCCATTAAAATCACACTATCGCATGGCCTCTGGACAACAAGGCGCTACTTACCACATGCCCGGTCTCCAAAGACCCGGTGTGGCGCCTCATTCTGTCAACGAGCGCAATCGTAGCAATAGCGAGGGCATAATTCAAGGATCATCTGTTGCGCGTAGCAAAAGAATGGGACTGATCACTCGCAAGAATACCGATCTAGTTACATTGGATGAAACACGCCCATACCGGAACAGCCATCTACGGGGTCTCAGTCATGGATCTGTGCTTCGACCACGTCAGCATGCGGCGCCAATCGCGACAAATGACAATACTCCTCCAAGTCCCACCAGCCCAAGAGAGCGTCGGCGTCCGCGAGATGGTTGGGTTAACCGGATGTCTAGTCTGCCTGAACACAAGGGCGAGCGTGGATCTGATCAACCGATAATCAAGAGTGCAAAAGGTATTCTATTTGCCCTCGCTCAAGTTCATTCCCATATCGATACATTGATCAACGTGATCAAGCATGATGACACCAGGCGCCACAGTCTCGAACTTGTCTTTTACAATGCTTCCTCGCACGTTGATCAACTCAACGATGCTCTTGAGAAAACATCAAATACTTTGTTCAATGACCCAGAGTCAGTCGCATCAGTCACAGAGACAGTCAGACGTGAATGCGAGACGTGCATTGCCGCCTACATTCACGTCGGCACGCAGCTACGCAACAACGTCGCTAAGATCGTTTCCAACGGCGATCCGCGCTATGTACGATCGCTGATGCTGACGATGTTTGGCAGCCTGGTGGAGCTACGGAATGCCTGCGTTATTCTCAAAGTTCCGCTCCAGACAATCAACAAACGTGGCTCTGCTGGAAAGCGTTTGATTGGCCCAAGCAACCCACTCCCCTCGGTCCCAGACCGATCTCATCTCTCGCTGGTCACTCCAACAAGAGATCTCACTCCACCCACACGACGACTGCGAAGCGACACGACAATCCGACACCCTCAGTACCCTATGACTATGACTTCCAATCAGACTGGTATAAGCTCCCCTGGTCTATCCACCTCGTACGCACGCAGTCGCTCGAGCAGCAGATCAAACATGATCAACACATCTATGCCACACTCGTTGGCAACCCCTCGCTCAGGCGAAAGCTTCCCCCCTTTGCCTGTATCTGGAGCTCCCCGGGTCAACACACTGACTGGACTGGACGAAAACGAAGAGGAGCGAATATTCGAAAAGATCTTCCATCAGCTGACCGCTACCTATCATGCCGCATACGGGGCACTTCCACTGGCCCGTCGGCAATTCATAAGGTGCTTAGAAGCTGCCCAACAATCACGAGATTCGGATGGAATCCAAATCCTTTGGAACAACCTCATCCGTCGATGTCAGTTCTGCTTGGAAGTTTCAGATGCCCTGGGGCAGCGTCTCTCGACCATGAAAATTAAAGAACCAGGCGGCGGGCTCCGCAATCAACGCGAGTTCTGGCAGTTATGCAAATCATTCATGCAGTCGTTCGTGGACCTGGTGAACGAGATGCGCGAGTTGAAAAGTATGCAGCTTCTACCTGCCGATGTCGTCATTCTCCTGCGCCCAGTTCAAAAGGCAAGCCGGGAAGCAGGCCGCTTGATTGAGGTATCTCCTTGGGCCTACCTTGCAGATCCGGACCGTCATCCCGCTCCTACTGCTTTGTACGGCCCTCCGCTGCACACCTCACACCTGCAACACCATCAAACGTCCGTCTCAACATCCGCCCTCACCAACAACCCCTCTTTCCAACTCAACATGATGATGCCATCGCAATCAGTCACTGTCCCTGCCACTCCGCTGAGTGCGGCGCTCGGCCCTGCTGCGCAGGCCACTGTCCCGTCGACGCCGGCTAGTGCATACAGTGACAAATTCTTTGAGGGCGATGTCTTCCAGCGTGCCGACTCGCTTCTCTCGTCGAACCAAGCCCCATTCTTCCGTCGCTAAGCGACTATGAACTAATTTTTACGCTCTATGTCAGAGAACTCGTTTTCTCTATGCGTCATGATTGCCTCCATACTCCTTTTTTGTCTGCATCTTATGATTATGACTGTGAGCAATCTATCGTGCATGCCAGCAAGGCACTTTGGTGGTTCCCTGCAATACCATCTCTGCCCTGGCAATCCGATCCTCGATTGTATTCTGTTTTTCCCATGATTTAGCGGGTTGATTTCTTTGGAAAGAACTGAGCTACGGGCCATCTATTGTGCATGTCATTGACTCTTTTTTGACCATCGACCACATATGCATTTGATTGGTGCGCTTTTTGCCTTTCTTTTCCTATGCATTAGCGGGTCAATATCCTATGGAATACCTGGATCTTTGTTGCAATAGGTCTCAAATGAAATGATGTTTATTCGCCATAGACTTCCACTTTATGCATATACCCTAAAGACTTCGACTTGTTTGAAACTATTCTAATATATAGTACGTGGAGGCGAACGATTGAAAATATGTAAGAGATATTATAATATGAAATATGGTGTCTAGTACAGTATAGCCAGATCACCCATGATCTGTGAGTCGCCCTTCACACAGCGGTTTCCAGATTCGCGAACAAGGCCGAGGATAAGACTCCTCTAGAGGGCCTTGAACTTCCCCAGGACTACGTAACAAAAAAGGTCAGTTCCGAGTATAACCACACTAGCCACGAAGTCAATGATTCACGGGTACAGAGTACATACCTGCAGCATGAGCCAGGTCGGCCTTGGAATGTGCCAGGACATGAAGACTGATATCCTGGAGTGCGTAGAAGAGGTGATCTTTGTTCGAGGTGTAGTAAGATTTGTCATGAATGCCTGCAGCCTCGGGCACCCTACACGCAATCCCAATAGTCAGTACTATGTATCCTTCGACAATCGTGAGACCATCCCCCCAAAGGCCGGGGTGACGTGATACAAGGTGTGTCGACATACCAGGTGATAAAGACTAGCTTGCTTCGCTGGCCATCCCCGGCAGGGGAGTCGTAGGTGAAGTCTACGACGGCGTATCGGGGAGTGTCATCATTGAAGTGAGAGAGGAACTCGTCGTAGTCCTTGTATTTGCCGGACTCAGCGACGGTGATCTTCTTGTCATGCGCGGAGGCTGCGTAAATGACGTAGGTGAGGTTGTCAGTTCCTTTGACCTCGTCGAATACTTCCTCGCATTCAGGAGTGATGGTTGCGAATCCTTTTGTCATTGTGAAAGATGTGGGACGTGAGATGTGAGATGTGAAAAGGAGTGGGAAATAAGAAAAAGGGCAAATCAAGTGATGGGCTGATACTTTGTCATACAATCACCTGTTACCCCATATTTTGCGGGGAAATCCTCATGACGTATGAAACTATTTATATCTTGATCTATATTATAGTGCTTTGGATACGTTGCATAGAGATGTATTCAAATACACAAGTATCTGGGCGTACTGTAAGCTCTAGACTAGAGGAATTTTGCCCTAAAACGAATTGTATTCGGCCCCTTTCATAAACGGCTCAATTCCCTTTCTCTCAGCTTTGCCTACACAGCCTCCTCCTTATCCTGGCATTCTCCTTTGCACCAGCTTGCGAATGAATAAAGCAGTAATTCTTTTTTTTTTCATGATACAATGCGCATTAAATTTCTCAGAACACCATTAGACATACATTGACCAAGAGACCGGGCACTCGTGATGACAACATCGCAAACCTCCTCACTGTGGGCTCTTGCTCTATCAACATTCCCTGAAAAGAACCAGTGCATTTCCAAAATACCAAGCGCCTCTTCCTCAGACACCAAACAAACTCTAAACAATGTTCTTTCGGCACTCGAAGTCCAGCGCGACCGCTGCACACGGGATAAATGGATCACGATCAGCATTGGGGGGAAGGAGCTCATCATCCGCGATCTCTGCGCCAAGATTACTGCCTATGCCAGGAAATGCATGGACGTAGCTGATGTTGCGGTTCAGTATGACCCTATTCACGCGGCGTTGCCGTGGGCTGGCGTGCTTTTCTTGCCGCAGCTGACTCTCTCTAGATTTGAGGTTTTTGGTGCTATTGTCGAGGAATTGGAGAAGGCCACAAGACTGATAGCCCGATGTGGGATGCTTGACGCCCTTTTCATCCGAAATGGTAAGGGTACTACTGGAGAAAGATTGGGCTTGGAGTGGGAAATGCTGAAATTGTATTCCGTTGTCCTGGACGTTATTTGCAAGGCTGAGAAGCATCATGATTCCTCGGGCATGAGTGAATTGATTCACCAGATGGATTGCAAGATACGGGTATGCTGACTAATGGAATTAGAGCGTGTCTTGAACTTGACAACTCGGGCGTCTAGTCAAGGATCGGTGACGCAAATGGAGGCTGTAGAGCAAAAGGTGTTGGCCTTGAAGGGTCTCATTGATAGCCAAAGTCCGTTAGTTGAATACAAATAACTACTCAATTCTCTAACATTATAGTAGGGGTGAAAGACATCTACGACGGAATTTCCGAAGAGAAAGCCCTCGCCGCCGCTATTGCCAGCCGAAAACTTGGTCTCGTACAGCTTGTCGTCGATGCTGGCGCCAACCTTGACGCTCATGGACCTTTTGGCTCTCCCTTGCGGAGCGCCGTTAATTTGGGCGGTGAAAACCGCAATGCACTTCAGGTTGCTTGTGATACAGGGAATATCGACATTGTTAGGTTCTTGCTCGGCCAGCATGCGGATGTGAGGGCGTCTGGAAAGGATCTAGGAAATGCACTGCAAGCAGCCTCTGTTAAGGGACACGTTGACATAGTCAAACTGCTTCTTCCCCAAGTTATAGAGGTGGACGAGGCTGACAGTGATACTGAAACAGCGCTCTGCCTCGCTGCAGCTAACGGACACGAGCAGACGGTGATCTTTCTGCTGCAACAAGGAGCTAACGTCGACGGTAATCCCACTCTTGAATATGATAGCAGTGACAAATCCGAACCACCGGGCAAAATTCTCCCGCACAAAAGGCACAAAAGGCTCCGGGAAAAACAAAGTATTGTTGCAGTTCCTCTTCATCTCGCCGCCGTTAGTGGACACGAATCTATCGTCTCTATCCTCCTTGAAAACGGGGTAAACGCCCACCTGAAAGGAAAATATCGCCGTAACGAAAATGGTTCCTGGGATGAACGTAGTTTCAGCAAACTTCACAGCACATCACTTTTCGCAGCATGTTTTTGGGGTCATCTTTTCACTGCCAAACGGCTATTTCAACACGATCCATGGGGCTATATATCTCATAAAACGTTTACTTCTGCTGTGGAGACAAGTCTCACTCGCAATAAAAAGAATATTGCAACAATGCTGGTTCAAGAGGCGATTCTCGCAGGGTTCAAAGCTGAACACTTCGAAGGTACATTCAGATACGCCTGTGCAAACGGATACACGGAGGTTTTGAAGCAAATTTTGGAACATTTCGTTCTCGAGAATTGGCCCACTGCTCTTTTGTTGGCCACAAAAGAAGGCAGAGGCGCCGTTGTTGAGGTTTTGCTGCAAAACGGAGCTGATATGGATATTCGCGACGAGCATGGCAATCTAGCATTGGACTTGGCTATAAAAGGAATTAAGAAACACAGAGACCACCACTGGCCCTCTGACCCACCAAACTGGATCGAAGTTTTTATGACCTTGCTTTGTGCAGGGGCTGATACGAACGACCTATCTAACAAAATTAGGGAGGTCTTCCCCGTTATTGCAAAGCGCGGGAGAGTTGATATCTTGAGAAAATTGGATCACTGGGGATACAATATACTCGATGATGCTACACTCTATCCAGAGATCTTGGTCAAAGCCTCAGCCGACGGCGACAATGAAAAGATCGATTACATGAGTACCAAGCATGTCCCTTCGACTAAGAATATCAAAGCTGCCGTTTTGGCTGCAATCAATCGTCAAAGTGATCTAACAGATCGTATACCGACGATCAAGAGACTCCTGGGTCTCAAAACAGCGATATCTTTTGATGAAAACCCGGATGTCGAGCCATTGGTAATTGCTTCTGAGAAGAAGCATCCCGGAATCGTGGCCATTCTACTCCAACACACTAGATACGGCAGATGTGTCGTTGAAACGGCCTTCAAATCAGCTATACGGCGCGGTAGCGTTGCCTGCGCACGCCTCATTCTTGAGTCACAGGGCTGGGAACCTGCTGAACGCCTTGAGATTTGTTCTCGTTCTATTCTGAAACATTTTCCTTACATTAATAGGGATATTCTTGCATATCTGTTTGATCAAGGGATATCCCCGAATAAAAGGGATCCCCAAACTGGCGCAACTCTGTTGTACATCGCCGCTACCATGTATAGCGACAAGGTTGTTCAAAATTTTGTGGCTCTAGGCGCAGACGTCGACCTCGACGGAGGCGAGTACGGGACGGCGCTACACGGAGCAGCAGCAGCTGGGAATCGGAAGTCAGTGGAGTTGCTCCTTTCATCTGGTGCAGATGTTAATGCACAGAATGAACGTTTTGGTACGCCGCTGGTGGCAGTGATGGCGCAGCAGTGGGAAGATTGCTTTGTAGCGAAGTACGAGTTCAAGTGCTTCTTGAACTGCCATCGATGCTGTGCAAGGCTGCTGTTGGACTGGGGTGCGGATGTTGATGCCAAAGGTGGAGAGTTTGGGACAGCGCTACATGCTGCACAGAATGTTGGAAACATGCCGGGAGTAAATATGCTCCTGCAAGATGAGGAGTTTAGTAATACATAGTGATAGCGAGGTTTCCGCGTTCTGGGGTTTATATATTCAATCTTTTGTCAGCACATGATTACAAAAGCTCATCCTACAGAAAACACGCCATCCTGGGTGTAGGTGGCGGCCCTGTGATGTCGTTTTAGTAGTATTTTTTTAATGGTCTCAGATGATCTGTTACAACGTAAATTTCTTTGTGATATTTTCTTCCCCTGCTCCGTTTTGTAGGTAGACAGCAGAAGATGGCGGAAACAAAAGCATATACATCATGACTCATGCTGGGTCATGATGACTACCGATCGACACCTATTGACCAAATCGTAGGTAATATTTAGTAAACATTGCTCTTAATACATACAATTTTTACCATCGTACAGGTATTCATGTACTTGGTGCACTATGACGGAGATCTGGTAACCTTTTGGTCTTCGTGAACGGGATACGGCGTTCTACGAGGACAAATCGATTTGGATATTGAATATGATAGTACTGTTGCTTTTTTTAAAATTGAGTATAAATGAAATTAAGATATACCTCGTAGCTGGTATGTTAACTGAAATATTTTACCCAAAATAGTTGGTACAATGAATCAAGATGGCCGGATATATATCTCGCAAGAGGTAGTGATATTGAAGTAAGTAATTGGTTCGATCTTTTTTGGTTTTATGCGAAAAAAAAGGGCAAATGACGAAAAAGAACCTATTTGAACCCAGGTATCACATTGCTTTTGGTGATTCTCATATATGATGCAACATTTTTGTCGACATCGTCCGAAAGCCTTCCATTACTGTTATCGTTACGAGCTTGACATGACCCTTTCAATCACATGCTAACTTGGCCGTCAATTTTGAAAATAGAAAAGATTCTAAAGAAGATACATGTTACAATCACCAAAGTCAATAACTCCAAACCCCGAATCGGTGTCCATCCAATCAGTGAGCCCTCGGAACAACCACATCCCTCACGAAGGAAAACATCTCGCGTGGCTTATTCACAAAGACACTATGACCAGCCCCACGGAATAAATGATACGACACACCACGCTCCATAGCCCAGGTACCCGCAACAGCAGCAGTCTGAGTGGCAGTCGAGAGCGTAGTAGCCACCGGCGTATGCTCAAACAGGAGCTGCTTGGTTGCCGATGGCGCAGCATCATCAGCAAAGAATGGCCTTTTTGGCTTCTGCGTGAAGCCTTGCGCCCCGCGCCACGTCATATTCTGCAACGAGAGTTCCGCACCAATGTGGTTGATCAACATATCCCACTCGCCCGAATAGATATGGAGCGAGATATTGTGCTTCGTAACCAGAGATGGGAGGATGAAGTACTCCGGCGGCACGGGGGAGGGCGCTGAAAGAAGTGTACCCAGGATTGTGGAGTTACAGGCGCTGTAGAGTCCGCTGTTCTCGACATGGAGTACAGTCTGTACGTCTGCGCGACCGAAATACTCTGCTATTAGTGGGAGCTTTGAAACGGCGCTGCAGTCGTGGGAGATGTCGTAAATGTCGAAGCAGCCGCGGGTTTTGCGGTTGGTAGAGACACTTGTTAGGTAGTCACTTGCTGTAGAGAAGGCGGCGCAGGGGCCGTAGCAGGTTGAGTTGAAGATTGAGGTGCGGACTTCTTCTGGGGATGTGGGTGAGATGTTGCATGCAGCGTTGGCGGCACTTGTTAGGCCTCGACGTCGGAGGTTGAAGTACTCTGGGTTTCCGGGGATGTGGATTTTAGCTTGGGGAGGGTATATGTCGGATTTTGCTAGCACGTCATTGAAGCCACAGGTTCTATCTGCTTCGTCGAAGACAGATAGCACGTCTTCAGGAATTTGGAGGAGACCCAGCTGGGACCTGAGATATTTGCCCATTCCAACGGTCGCCATGGCTGCTCCATTTCCCCAAGATCCATCACCGAGAGACATCGAACGCACGTTGAGAGGTACGGAATGGTTGCCCTCGAGAAGCTCCGATGCAAAATAGGGTATGTAGATGCCTGCATATGACTCTCCCATTAGATGGATCTGCTTTGACTGCAGGTGTGGGAAGTAATTGAAGAAGCCACGCAGCCACTGCGTAAAGTCCGTCGTCACCCGGCGATTGTTCTTAACCGGGTAGGGGAAGCTGGCCGTGGAGAAGCCAGTGCCGACGGGCTGATCAACGTAAAGTACATTGCCCAGCTTTGTCCACGAGTGCGGATTGCGAATGAATTGAGCTGAATTGCCATCAAATGAAATGGGTCCATTACCAGTCGTTAGACCTATCAAGGATGAGCAACCAGGGCCGCCATTGAACCAAACTATACAACCTTGTTAGCAACCACCTTTGCATGTCCTTTCCTATATCAGACATACTGATCAAGTTGTCGTCATATGCTGACTGCTCTGACTGGAATAGCCAGAAAAAAATCTGATTTCCAGCCTCTGTCCCTGGAACCGGAAGGCGACCAGCCCAGCTAGGTGGCAGGTCCGAAACGCTCGGCAAGGTATGTACTTCAAACCGTGAAGTATTGTATGAACCAATTCTCCGCGAAAGGACAAACCCAGGAGCTGCCCATAGAGCATGAAAGAAGTAAAGCAGTGCCGAGATATTCATGATTGGAACTCGACGTGCTTTGCACAGCTAGGATAACCTTTAAAGTTGTGTCTGTAGTCCTGCGTAATAAAGATTCAGGATCCTCATGTAGATATTATTCCACGTGGAAATCATGTTTCCTTTTTATCTCTTTCTTCTTAGACATGATGGTGGTTATTGGGCTATTCAGCGGGCGGTTGTTGAGCCAGATTTGGGTGTCAATAAGGCTCGCGGGGATATTGGGGTCAAAGACATGGCCAGTGGATTTTGATGCTCGGTCGAGCTCATATCCGTCTATAAGCAGCTTATGCCTCCTGAATTACCGTAATTTTATTCAGATCCGAGCTGAACGCGAAGATCAATTGGTGAGAGTTAATGGCGAAGGAGGTGAAGTATAACGTATTTCACCACCGAGCTGGACAAACCCCACCGAACTTATTAAATTCAAGTATATTTATCTCAACCAAAACACAATTAAATTAATTCAACTAAACTGATATATCTGGCTAAACACCTATTGATTTTATGCCCTATTTCTCCACAACCACTACACTTTGGTAGGGCCCGTGTACGTGGTTACAATACCAGCGAAGGGCTTCTTCGTTAGTTAACTAGTTAGGGTTGTCTTAGAAATTAGAGACCTTGTCTATCAGGCATTAAGATATCCAGGTACCAAGGCGCCAAGGCAGTAAGGCAATAAGGTACGCCGAACCGAAAACATTCCGATCCCGACGAGAGGGGCCCTGCTTCATCTCTCCTCGATACTCTGTCAACACTTGCCAAGTGTCCTAGAGTGTACGGAGTACATACTAATGTACCTGGTAATGCACAAACCGACTGCACCCAGTGGTTCCCCGAAAAAATGAGACTCATACTCACGTGGCCAATGCTGGTTTCAAGGTTCAAAGTGAGGCGAATACCCCCCTTTTTTTGGACATCAAATGCAGATATGCATCAAAATCGGAAATAGAAAGATGTGACAATGGCGAGATATCCCAAGTCGAGGGAAGTCTGCTCGCGGGTAGTAGCATAGGAATGTCTGGTTGCGTCCACCCGAATCCGGTGTGTAGATCTGGGATACACTCACTATATTCATCCCGGTCGCTTTGCCAACTCCTTTTCTTTCTTTTCTTTTTTTTAGTTCTTTGATTTGTCGATTTATCCTGCATTGCATTTCTCGACATTGCGACTTGTTGCCTTGAGAGTATACACTGCAATTCCCAGGTTTATGCTTTGAGAGACGTTGCATACTCTCCCTCCCTCCTTATTACACAACTCTTTGTGTTGAAATTATATTCTCTTTTATTTGGACTCTTATACTTCTTTTGTTTCAAATAATCTAATTTCCACCCCTTTTTATCCTCTCCCTATCCTTGGACCCCTGATCGGGACCACGAGGCGATCGACGCAGATCCAAGCAATCCTCGGCTCCACAGGAATTGACAGCTCACTTGCATCACTTTTCGGTGACTGCGGATTGGCTGCCTGCCTGAGGCAAACAGGGGCTATTAAATTTGTGAGTTGTGGGAATTGCATAGGGGGCGTATTCGCCTTGTTCTGTGCTTAGGTGCATGGCGTGGTCTCGCCATTGCCACCCCCAAATCTTCCTTTTATCTGACTGTCTGAGTAGGGGGAGGTTCAGATATATCGTGCTTAGCGATGGATCTACAAGGCACTAAAGAAGCCCGGCCGCAGGAGGAGGGCGCCGAAGGCCCTCTAGAGGCGTATGGTGCTGGAGGTGGTCGTTCTAAAGAGTATCACCAAAACGAGGGGCGAGATTCTCACAATCATGACGACCGAACTTCTATTCACCCCCTCCGTCGTCGTCAGCCGCCCTTCGCCTATCCCCATGGAGCTCGACAAACCGCATCCCCGTCACCAGCCGTTGTCTCTCGGCTTCGAGAGCCCTCTCCGTCACCGGAGGCTATCAGTATACCCCAGGAACTGGGACTAGGTTCCCGCGATCAGCGCCTATTGCGCAAGGCTCGGAGATATCCGCCGGTTACTAAGAAAACGCTCAGCGAGCTTGACCTACCCTGTATCATGGGCAACATCAACCTCCGCATGGACGCCAACTTCGACCGCGACCTGCACTTCAAGCCTGACCTAGACGGGGAGAAGGGCCATCGCAAGCGGAAAGAAGCTGCGGATTATTGGGACTCATTGGCCGTGGAGATTACTATCTACTCTTTCCATGCCGCGACTGCCGATGCCACCACCGAGCAAGTCGAGTCGAGTGATGGTACTCGACGCACCTTCGATCCCCGTTTGCCCGCCCTGTTCGAGACATTGCAGGATGTCATCAAGACTCTTGTTCCAGAACGGGATCACCCAACTATCATGCAGAACCTGGAAGTTCCATTGCTCATGCAGCAAATACGCAAAGGCGTTCTCGACATGCTCACACTGGCGAAATGGCTGGCGAAGCTCCTGAAGACGCATTGTGCTCCGATGCGAGACGAGTGGGCCGACTCTATGGTCGAGCAAATCGAAAAAGGGTCACAGTCTCATGATCCCGGAGAGATTGTCAACGGTCTGCGAACATTGTTCTCCATTCTAGAGGCGATGAAGTTGGTATGTCACATTTAAACTCTTCTGATCCCCGCAACTTTCCGAACTAATCTGTGACTCTATAGGACGTCGCCAACCATCAGATTCGAGCATTCCGCGTTCTCCTCATCGAAGATACAGTCCCCTTCCTCCAAGAATACTTCCAAGGCAAAATGAACCGCGGCAGCTTCCAGGTCGAGCCCGCTCGCCACTGGTATCTCTCAGTGCGCGAGCAAGCCCGCCAAGACGATGCAAACGCAGAAGCCCAAAAAACAACCTCAACCCCAGAAACAGAAGACTCTCTTAAACCCCTCGAAGCTCTGTTCCGCGGAATCACCGCCCAACTCCTCCAATTCAGCCCACCCGCCGACTTCCCCGAAACCTTCCTCTTCGACTCTGAGCGCCTCTGGCAACTCCGCTCAACAGTCCAAAACCTAATCAACCTCGACATCGCCTGGTACATCTTCGAGTCCTACGTCAACAAGCACAAGCGGTATCTCTCCACCCCAGAAGAAACCTACTCCACCTTCCGATCCCGCATCTGGTCCCTAATGGAAGACGGCATGGACCTGGAGAACCGCGTTGCAGAAAACCCAGACAACAACGACGACGACCCAGATCACCGCGGCGGAAAACGCTGGACACAAAATATGCGCTGTATCGCGCTGGAGATTGCCCGCTTTGCCTGTGCCGCGCTGCAGCTCGACCCTATTGTCGCAGACGAGGTCATTGTCCCTATCGAGGAAGCCCTCGAGTGGCACCTCTCAAATGAATCCGAGCTCTTCGTTTTCTTCCAAAATAGCATGCGTAGCAAGATCCTTGCTACCACGCTGGCGGCGGCTCGTAGATACTTGCCGCTGTCACCGCTAGCGATCTGTGAGTCGCAGCGGGTTCCATTGCCTGTCGCTATGGGTCCTGCTGCACCGCAGACTGGGACTGCGGTTGCGTCTGGATCAGTGAATACTTCCTCACTGGCTTTGACACCGCAGCAGTCGGATATCGAGCGTATTGGGATGCGTCTTGCTCATATGGGTGTGCTACACTGGCGTGTTTGGGCTCCGTTGTTGTATCTCCGAGATGAGATTGCAATTGCGGAGCTTGAGCAGGTTTCCTTGGTATAATTTGCTTCTCTTTTTACTTTTGCTCCTTAGATTTTTGGTGTTATTGTTTACAGCTTTGCCGAGTGTTTGTTTGACTTGCTTTTCAGCGCCTTGCATTTGCCTATCGGGGGGAGTTTTATTCAAACTAGGTGTTTTACTGAGGGGATCTCGGTGTCTGGGAAATAAAAAGGCGCCTACAATATGTACGCATATAATATCTATTTGTCAAGTAGAGGTTCTAAAAAATGACATCCTATTCTCTATATCCTTGGAAACAAAAGTAAACATCGTGTAGCCGCGAACGGCCCAATGGGCCCGTGCGCCGATCCACTTTAAAGAATCCCCCTAAAAATGTTTATGCATCCAGCCTAAAGTTGCCGTTATATTGGGGAAATCTGAAGTGATTGTGCCTGTACCGGAAAGCCCAGACCTCCCCAATACTACACTTGGCAGAAACATACCCAATGCGTCTCTCTGCAGCACTGTACTCCCCAACCCCTTGGCTCGGACGCTTGAAATCAGCACAATTGCAGCGCATCGCGCGCGCAACGGGCATCCAATCGTCTGGTACGAAGGGTGTTCTTATTGAGCGCATTGCAACAGAGTTGACGTTGCATTCACAGTCACAGGCGCAGTTGCAGTTGCAGTTGTCGGCTGCCGCAGATGGTGTTGCAGATGGTGTCACTAGTATTCCCAATCACAGTTCTACTGCTAGTGACAGCACCAGCATAAGCCAAGATCGACAGATCGATCGGCGATCGGTATCGACGAAAAGTCACGCAAGCAAGACAAAGACCGAGACCAAGTCAGCAGACTTGTCAAAATCAAGCCCCGCAAAGCAATGGAGCATCCTTAGCATCGATATGGGGATTCAGAACCTCGCATTCGCGCATCTGCTCGTGCCCCGCTCTAATGCCCCAGGTGTCGGGATAGACACAGCACATCCCCGGGCGCCGGTGTTAACAGCCTGGCACCGACTCGCCATTTCTGAGATATCAAGTTTGAACTTAATACCCGGGGATAATACCGGTTTGGTCAAGCCCGCTGAATCAATATCCGGGTCTGATGGCGCCACAGAATCATCGCAATCTATTCTCCCAATAGGAACGGAGAAAGACAGTCCCGCGAAGATCGCCAAATCTACAAAAGAAGAAAATTTATACTACCCAGACATCTACGCTGAAAATGCATACACCCTAATCGCATCACTCATAGCCGCCTACCGTCCCACTCACGTGCTTATAGAGCGCCAGCGCTTCCGCTCAGGCGGCGGGAGTGCCGTTCTTGAATGGACACTGCGTGTTGGCATTATGGAGGGCATGTTGTATGCCGTTCTTCAAACGCTACGGCAGGAGAGGGGCGGGGATGTTGCGGATTTGGTTGTTCGCGGTGTTGAACCGAGTCGGGTAGTTAGGTATTGGCTCGAGGGTGGATCTGGGTCATCAATTCCCGGGAAAGGGAAGGTGGGTGAAAAATCAGAAGTCGAGAAAAAGACGAAGAAACTCAATGCGCGAGAAGTGAAGAAGGCTAAGATCGATATTGTCGGACGGTGGCTCTCTGCTGCGATGCAGAACACCAATGCTTGTCCAGACACGGACGATGGTCTTAAGAGACTGGAGCTCGGTATTGCTGCCGACAATAAGATCGTGCTCGCTGATCAATCTGTGTCTCCTGCTCTGCATGGTGTTGCGGGTGCGTATATGCGGAAATGGCAGGGTCAGACGCAGACGAAGAAGGGGAAAGGGAAAGGGTCTCGCTCCCCATCGCCCATATCCCCTCAGTCTGATATAGGGGACGAGGTGGGTGCTGTTGATCCGAAGAAACTCGATGATCTAGCCGATTGTTTATTACAGGGTGTGACCTGGGTTGAATGGCAGATTACGCGGGAGCGGATTGCGAAGGAAGGGCTTGAGGCATTAGATTCAATACCATAGTAGATATTATTCAATCTGAGAGTCAGGCTAGATATGATGGAGGATGGATACCATGAGCTCCTCTTGGGATGAAGCTGGGTGTTCAAATTTCGTATATTATATGTATGTGTCCTACTTGACGTACGTTAATTATTATCCTGGAATGGATAAAATGACCCGAGACATCAGGCCAGTTTGACTAGATAACTACATGTCCACTTGGGCACGTCAATCTGTGTCTTGTTACTGACCAGCCCTAAGATCAACACTGATCGACATGGATCAGGCCTTTATCTCTCCAGGATGCCCAGGTGAAGAGCCTCACGCTCTTTAATTTTATGTTGTACTTATCCTACAAAGGGGGTTTATTTGTAAAAAGGCAAAAGCCTCAAGTCAATTCAGGTTCTTTCCTAAGGATACCGATATTGCTCACCGCCATCGGCCTTCCGCATAGAACGAGAAACATGAAGACGAAAAACAGCGCATACTATGGGATCATTCGCAAAATGAAGATCTGTCAAGATTAAAGAAGATGAATTTTCCCTTCAAAAACACAATAGATAAGAGGCGAGATCCAGTCCTCAAAGCAGACGTGTCACCACCCGTCAAAACAATACGTGAGAGAATGTTCCGAGACCAATGGAAACCGGTCGTATGAATGGATCAATTTCACATTGGGAGTAAAAATGTAACGCAAGGAAATTTCACGTCAGAAGTTCTGAAGATTGGGGGCCGCGGTCCAGTATTGAAATTTGCCTGCAAAACGTAGCAAGCAGGCAAGGAAAACTTGGGCCCAAAGAACAATCCAGCATGACAAGACCATTGCAAGAATAGAAGTCGAAAAGAAGAAACATGGCAAAAAATGGAGCGTAGATAAGAAGCGAAACCGAAACCGTTTGTACCGAAACTTGGCAAAAAAAAATAGGTACAGTACCAGCACGCCTCTGCGCGAGTAGAAGGGGATCGGAACTTTCTCTCAGATCATCAACGGCTTCGCAACTCGCCGCTATGTGGAGGTGGAGACCCCCTCACATTAGCATTGCGTCTAGAAGAAGTGGTGGCGCCAGTTGGGCAAGAAAGGCTTGCCAGTGGGAGCGCTGCTGGACGAGGCTGGGACGCTAGAGGAGGGAGTAGGGGTCACGCTGGCGCTGGGGCTGGCAGAGGGAGTCCGGGTAGCGAAGCCACTGGAAGAAGGAGTGCGGTTGATGGGAACGCGAGTGGAGCCGATGGGAGTGCGGGTGGAAGAAACCGCGGTGGTACTCTCAGTGGCGGTGGTCTCGGCAGAGGTGGTAGCAGCGGAGGTGGTCTCAGCAGAGGTGGTCTCAGCAGAGGTGCTCGATGCGCCCTAGAGAAACAACATTAGTTTTTGACATACCAGTTAGAGAACAAGAAGGACATACAGCAGTCACAGTCTCAGTGACGGTAGCAGTAACAGTGACGGCGCTGCAAGCACCGGACTCGTTGCCAGAGCCAGCCCCGCCGGAGGGAGAGGGAACTTCGATGAGGGTGACAGTCTCAGTCTTAGTGGCCTGGATAGTAGAGGTGTGAGTCTTGGTGGTGTCCTGAGCGGGCTTGGTGACCGAGGCATCAGCGCCAGACTGAGTCTATGTCAAAGTTAGTTCAGAATGTACGAAGCATAGGATATCTGATGGAGCACATACGGCAGAGACGGTGTGCTCGCCAGTGGCGGTCTTGTAGATGGTGGTGGTGATGACGCTGGTGGAAGCTCCAGAGGTCACGGTGTAAGTCACAACCTCAGCGCTGGTGGTAGGGACTTCGGTGCCAGCGGGAGCAGACACAGAGCTGACGCTGGAAGAGGGACGACCAGTAGGACGAGCGCTAATAGGAGTGCGGGTCACCACAGGCTTGCTGGAGGAACCGACGGGCTTGCTGGAAGAACCAACAGGAGCGGAGGATCTGAAAGCCACGCTCGAAGAGGCCACGGAAGTGGAGCTGGAAGTCACCGAGGGAGCAGAAGAGGAAGACGAAGTGGTAGGAGCCGGCTCGACAGCAGTGGGCCAAACGAGAACGGTCGAGGTGGAAGCCTTCGAGGAAGGCTCAGGCCGAACGGAGCGGACGTGGACACGACGAGCGTGAAGACCCTCGTGGTTGGCCTGACCCACAGCAGCCAGAGCGGCCATAAGGACAACGGAGAACTTGTTCAAGACAACCATGATGAAGTTTTTAGTAACGACGGTGGATATCAAGAAGATAAGTGAGGATGAGATGAGAAGAGCAAGAAAGCAAAGCTAGTGAGTGTTTAAGTGAGTGTGGTTGGAAAGAGCGACAGAGCAAGTGCGAAATCAATTCGCAGGGAAGGAACGTATGGCTTCTCACAGAGAAGGAAAGAAGCAGAAGTAGGTCAAGATAGCTTTGAAGGAAAGAGAAATAGATGGAGACCAAGCTAATTAACTCATTTCCTTAATCTCGTTAAATTAAATTATCCTTTTTTTTTTTTTTTTAATTTAATATGTCTACATAGTACCGTACGGAGTATAATCAAAATATCAAATGTAATACCGGTGGATCGACGGAATATATGAGGATCCACTGTCTCAGGCACGGGAATTTGATTGGATTGAATTTAGCCATTGTGAGCTACGTGGGCAGTGACCTTTAATCTCACCAAAAACTATACGATATTGGTATGAGCCTCTTTCTCTAGGGGGGATTTGATATGATGTGGCGCCGGTGGCGTCACTGACATGTCCCCTATCTTCTGGCGTGCTTAACAGGGGGTATCAGACCATCAAATGTGTATCTTGTCCAAACGGCTTTTTAGGGCACGGACATGAACGTGGGATATGAACGTGGGACAATATTCGGGTACAGAAGAGAAAACCCACAGGCTCTACATTGTAATCCGTACAAATGTACATATGGGGAAACACAGGCCGAAAACCTAGACGATCATTGAAGAGACAGATACGGCCAGATCCCCGGGGCTTTCGGGAAGGATCAGGAAATTGACTCGGCTGTAATAATACGATATACAGTACCTCGAAAGGTTTCATCTAAACCAGGCACCCGTGTCCCAATCCCCACCTCCACCCACTTCTCGGGATATAAATTACTTTTTGAAAATAAAGATGGGCAGGGACTCCAGTATATGTGCTTATTCCATACATATAAAAATGAAGATGTACATTCACTCTAAATGCCGTCTGTGAGAAGTGGGGTACAGAAAACCCGGTCCACGCTCGTGTGTATCGGGTGAATTGATCAAGATGGCCTAGGCCAAGCACGGCCCTTGGACTTTGGGCTATCGGTTGCCTAGATGATAGTTTCATTTCCTACTGAAGCGAGATTTGACCTATTCGAAAGTCTATGCTCAAGGGCTTGGATTTGTGTCTAGGAAACTTGGTAGAAATTGAGTTATATCCCATAGAAATTCTCCTATCTCGCAACGACACGGAGAAGCTTTTCAAGATGAAACATCCCGCTTGAAATTTCAATTGCCCCTGTCACTGCCCCTGTCACTGCCCCTGTCATTGCCCCTCAGCACCCTGGATTACTATGAATTGTAAGGCATCCCTAAAGAATTGCGCGGGAAGATCTCAATTCCGTGAACCATGGTGAATGCTGGAGTCTGGAAATATTCCATCCGGGAATGCCGATCCCCTCGGGACCATATCGAAGGCGGTGACGACATATCTTATCGGATAACACGGGCCGCATCGCACCCCCAAACGGTTGGAACTTTGTAGAGCACATGTGTGACAGTTCAGCAATTGACATGTCCTCGTTTCAAACCCTCCGAACACAATATGCCTCACTACTGAAGCGATTTATAACCTCGACCAAAGACTTTGAGGTCCTAACAACCATCCCACCCGACCACTCCGCAGAATCAGAGACCCTCTATGTCTTAGATTCGTCCTTCAATCCCCCCACCCGCGCCCACCTCCGCATTGCCAGCACGGCACTTTTAGAAAATCCCAAGCCCCGCCCTCGGCTGCTCCTTCTTCTCGCCACCCAGAATGCAGACAAGCCATCCAAGCCAGCTTCCTTCGAAGATCGGCTTGCGATGATGGAGCTGTTCGCCCGGGATCTCCGCGTCCACCTCGCATCATCACCAGCCTTCTCCGGCTCGGGCCTCACACCCGGCGTCGAAACTGTCCCGTTGATCGATATCGGCGTCACGAAAAGGCCCTATTTCGTCGACAAGGCGGCTGCTATCGAGGCATCGGATTCTTACCCCGTTGCGCTGGAGCAGGTTCATCTTACGGGATACGATACTTTGATCCGGATCTTCGATAATAAATACTATCCGCCCGACCATACCTTGAAGCCTTTGGAGCCTTTCTTGTCAAAGCACCGGCTGCGTGTGACTATGCGGCCGAGCGATGAGTGGGGCGGGAGAGAGGAGCAGCTCGAATATGTAGCGGCCCTTGCTAGAGGTGACCGAGATGGCGAGGGCGGCCGTAGGGAATGGGCCAAACGGATCCAGCTCGTCAATGGTAGTGCTCCTACGGACCGGCCTGTGAGTTCAACTAGAGCCCGAGAGGCGTTGGAATCCGCTCCCCAGGACCTGAATTGGCTGGTTCCCGAACAGGTGCGGCAGTTTATGTTGTCAGAACAACCGTATTCGGGAGACTCTAAAGTGTAGATATGTGCTTAGGCGGAGTAGCCTCTTGGGAAGACTCCTACAGTCCATCTTCAACCTGTATAATGATAATGCATGAATAATTTCATAAACAAATCCATGCCCACCGACTCCGAGGCCTCAAGTCCCCCACTACCCAAACGCACAACTAAACCACTTTTGATACACATATGGTACATGACAGTGCGCGCGACACCAATGCGGTACCGCGATGTCGCAGCCTTATGAGTTGTCACCTCAATCATGACGCATCCTCTTCCTCCTCCCTCTTACCTAGAGTGTACGCCAACCCACCACCGATCATGTTGACCAAAGCCAAACCCATAGTCGCACCACGCACGACACCCCGAACACCCAGCTTCTTCATGATTGGCTGTCGACGGCGGGCTGCGAGAAGCAGGTACAGCCCCGAGAAAGCCGCGCTGATGCCGGCAGTGTCCGTCTTGAAGCCCTGTAGGTTGGCATAGCTGGAGAAGATCAGCACAGGCGGGAAGAGCATCGGGAAGAACTGGAAAGGGCGCATGTGCTGGGCTGTGATTAGGGAGGCGAGCAGCGTGGGTGGGAATGAGTTTTCTGCATGGAGAAACGTCATTAGCGAGTGATCACTTGCGGCATTGCTTGCCTCGACGATTGGCCGGTGAAGCCAGATTATGAGGCCACTTACCACCCCACGCCCGGAAGCGCTGGATTACCGTCTGCTTGGTCTCTTCGACAACTGAATCGTCCGCCGCCATGATGAGGTATTGAGCTTCGAAGCTGGGTTTGTTTGATGAAAACGGAAGGTTGGAGCTTTGGCAGCCAATAATTGCTTTTCTACAGGTATATCAATAAGACCGTCCTTAAATTGAACCTGGTTGAACACAACTCACAATTGGATGCCACAAACTTGGAGATGTTGGCAGGTTTATCAGTTCGGCAAGTGATGTTATCGCAATGTCCAGTCCGGAGTGTAATCGACGTTCCGGTGCTTGGCAAAGACACCTAAGACCACGCTTTTTCCCCAATTTATGCCCGCCGAATCAGCCACCTCTGTCGCTCTGATCCCGCTGCATCTTCATCAGGACGATATTTTACTTTGGATATCTCATCATAAGTTTGATTAATCTGCCAGCCCAGCCATATTTCGTGCGGGATTGGTTCACCTTTATCCGCGCTCCCACACCACCTTGCGCCCTCCAGATTCCCTCAACCCCCTCTTCCCTTTTACAGCAAGCAAGGGCCGTTCAGAATCCGTCCAATTTTCCCCATAACACACGGTCGGTATGCCCTCGGCTTCGGCATCAGGCTCAGACGCCAAACGCGGAGGTGCGACGTCGCGCGACCATAAACAAGGCAACCAGGACCGCAAGTACACCGATGATCAGAAGGCCGCTGTGCTTCGGATCCGAAAATGTCAACCTACAGCATTTTACGAGATTCTGATGGTCGAGCGCTCGTCAACGGACAATGAGATCAAAAAGGCGTACCGGAAACAGAGTTTGTTGACGCATCCCGATAAGAACGGGTACGAAGGCGCAGATGAGGCGTTCAAGAGTGAGCAATGATCAACCCTGGGACCACCTCTTTACACATTGATTCTTACGCATGGTGACAGTGGTTTCGCGTGCTTTCCAGATCCTCTCCGACGAGGAGAAGAAGTCCAAGTACGACAGATTTGGCGGCGATCCTGATAGCAGGTCCCAGCCTGGACCGAGTGCTTCAAGTGGCGCATCCCCCTTCGGTGGTTTCGGCGGTGGTGGATTCCCCCGTGGAGGCCAAAGATTCGACGAGGAGGTCTCAGCCGAGGAAATGTTCAACCGGTTCTTCAACGGTGGATTTGGCGGAATGGGCGGTGGTGGGTTCGGTACGACTACTCCTTTCTCTGATATCTGTCTGACCTAAACTAACTGTGTACTATTATAGGCGGTCCACAATTCGTCTTCAATATGGGAGGTGGCCCAGGATTCCGAGTGCATCAATTTGGAGGCCAGACGCCCCGCCGCCGGCCTCGTGCAGCTGCCACTGAGCCGGAAGCTCAGATTGATGGCCGCAGTTTCCTTCGCCAGATATTGCCGCTTATTCTCCTGTTCGTCCTGCCGCTCCTCTCCTCTCTCTTCTCTGGTTCCTCAACCCCATCCGGGCCCTCTTATCGATTTGATACCCCCGTCTCCCCGCATACCCTCGGCCGCACGACCCCGAAGCTCAATCTCAATTACTTTGTGAACCCCCTCGATGTGGATAACTTTAGTGCCAAAAATTTCCGGGAGCTAGACTCGCGCGTGGAAGTGGAATACGTCAGGACATTGCGGAATGAATGTGATGCCGAAGCCCATGAGCGGGAACGGAGGTTGCAGGATGCGCAGGGGTGGCTCTTCCCTGATGTTGAAAAGATGAAGAAGGCTCGCGCGATGGAGATGCCGAGCTGCCGGCGTCTGGACCAACTGAAGACGAGGAGATTTTAAATACAATGCTGACTTTGGGGGCTTACACTGCACCTTCTTATGGCATCTTGTTCCTTTGTGGGTTCTTTTCCCGAAAGAACTTGCTCTAATATCATTAGCCCACCCACAAGGTGGCGTCAATGGGAGT